GCGCTTTGGCACGTCCCGTGGCAGGTCCTTGACACGTCCAGGGCACGTTCCCTGATATGTTCCCTGACACGTCTTCTGGTGCATCCCCTGTTGCGCCCCTGGCACAGCCTGTGGCGCGTCCATGAGCCTGTGCCCCGTGTCGTGTCGTTCCTTGGCGGATCTAAGTTGGATTTTGAGGTCGATTTCATTGAACGTCCTCCACGTTTCCACTTCAACTAGCTCTGGGGCAGCTACTTTGTGCTCAGGCAGCTCGAGCTTAAGATCCAGATCAGTTCGGTCAGGACTCGGATGCAAAGGAGGACTCGATCCACAACGCTATAGAGCACAATCGCGGCATGGCACATCGCAGTTCAGCACGGCGCAGCACAGCACGGCCCTCGGCACGGTACATCAAGATCGATCCAGTCAGCATTGAATTTGCCCGTCTCCCAATCAGGTGTCTTTGAAACGTTGCCATGCCTCACATTTCTATCCGTAATGGCTTCCCCCCCTGCCGCCGGCCCCCCCTCTCGGATAATGGGCTATGCAAGAGCTAAATCATGAGGCCTCAGCGCCGTCGTGAAGCAGCATCGGCAAGAGAAAGTAAGATTATGATGGTACTGTTGAATTCAGTGTTGCATTTTGAACCTGCCCCCGTATGCTATGCACTGAGGTTTCCCACAGAATTTCGGACATGTGACAAATCCCATGAGTTTTTCGACCCTGGCCCTGCTGATCTGCGTGAGGGGCGCCGCCGAATTTCAGAAATGTTGCAAATCCCATTGGTTTCTCGACACTGAGTCCGGCGATCTGCGTGAGGGGTGCTGCCGAATTTCAAAAATGTGGCAAATTCTCGACCCTGACTCCGCCGATCTGCGTGAGGGGTGCCGCCGAATTCAGAAATGTGGCAAATCCAATTGCTTTTTCGACCCTGACTCCGCCGATCTGCGTGAGGGGTGCCGCCGAATTCAGAAATGTAACAAATCCCATTGGTTTTTCGACCCTGACCCCGCCGATCTGCGTGAGGGGTGCCGCCGAATTCAGAACTTGACAAATCCCATTTGTTTTTCGACACTGACTCCGCCGATCTGCATGAGGGGTGCCGCCGAATGTCAGAAATGTGGCAAATCCCATCGACCCTGACTCCGCCGATCTGCGTGAGGGGTGCCGCCGAATTGCAGAAATGTGGCAAATCCCATTGGTTTTTCGACCCTGACCCCGCCGATCTGCGTGAGGGGTGTCAATTTCGACCCCCCCAGCAACTCAGCGACAGGACATCGTGCCACTAGCGTAGCGTAGGAGGGAGGGGGAGGGAGGAGCAGGAGCAGGAACAGGAGCAGGAGAGCGAGAAGGATCAGGAGCCGGAGGAGGAGGAGAGCGAGGAGGAGGAGCAGGAGGAGGAGGAGGAGGAGGAGGAGGAGGAGGAGGAGAGCGAGGAGGAGGAGGAGGAGGAGGAAGAGGATCCCTCACCGCTTCCTCTCCCTTCCGCTTCGCTTTCGGGGACGCACCTACCCGGTGCAAGCACGGAGAGGTGGTGCTGATCCCTCCCTGCAGACACCGGCGCACCCCGGCATGGTGCTCCGTGTCGTAGGGGGGGCATCCTGGGTCGCCGTGGCTAGGTGGGGCGATTCGGGCGCTCCCAGACGGCTCTCGTTGATGGGCACTGTTGCGGGGGCCTCCTGAGTGCGTTCCAGGAGAAGGCGGGAGTCCGTCGAGGTGCTTGGGGCCGCCAGGGCGGCGGATCCGTCGAGATGCTCACGATTGTGCTGTTGGGTTCTGGTTTCCGGCCTCGGCGACGAGGGATGTCTTGGTTCTCCCCTTCCGCCGTCCCTTCGTTCTCTGAAACCCCGAGAGACCAGCCGTGGCGACGAGGAAGCGAGGGCAGCGCACATAACCAGTGCAATGTCGGCGGAGTGGGACTGAGCCCTCCCTGCGGACATCGTCACACCCAGGGTCGAGTGATCCGAGTCGCGCGGTGGGCGTCCGTGGTTTCCGTCCCCGACTCCTCCCCCTTCCGCCCTGGGTCTGGGCCCGCACCTGACCGGCACAAGAACCCTGAGCTGGGGCTGAGCCCTCCCTGCAGACATCGTCGCACCCAGGGTACGGTGCTCCGTGCCTCATGGAGGGCACCCGTGGGGTCCGTCCCCGTTTCCTCTCCCTCCCGCCTCGGGTCTGGGGCCGCGCCTCACGGGGTGCAGGCACGGGGAGGTGGGGCTGAGCCCTCCCGGCCGACACCGGCTTGCCGAGGGTAAGCAGTTGCTCCGCGTCGCAGGGGGGGGCCTCCTCGATTCGCCGTGGCAGGGTGGGGCGATCCCGGCGTTCCCCGAAGGCGTTCGTGGACGTGCACCGTTGCGGGGGCCTCCTGAGGGCCCCGGTGCTCCAGGCGGAGGCTGGGAGCCGTCGAGGTGCTCGGGGTCGCTGGGGCACGGGCCTCGCCGTGCGGAGGGGAGCCGTGGCGAGGCGGGACGATCCGGGCGCTCCCAGGTGGCTTCTGCTCAGGCGCCTTTGTAGCGGGGGCTTCCTGGGGTCCCCCGCGTCCCAAGAGAAGGCTGAAATCCGTCGGAGCCGGCCACCATGCGCCGCCGCTCCTCTTCGGACAGCTGGGCCTGCGGTGGCGCTCGCCGCCAAGCTGTGCGCCGCCGCCGCAGCGCCTACCAGCAGGGCTGAAAGGCGGCCGCCGCCCCGGGCGGCGGCCGCGAGCCCGCCGGCCTCGAGGCCAAGGCAGGGGAACGCCCGCCAGGGCGGCAGCGGCAGCGGAGGTGGCGCCGCCAGGCCGCCGCCCGCCGTCGGGGGCCGGCCGGCCGCCGCCCTCCGCCTCCGCCTTCCGCCTCCGCCCTCGCCAGCCTCGAGAGGCAGAAGAAGCGGCCGCAGCGGGAGCGGCGGGTCCAGCGAGCGCCAGCGGGGCATCCCGCCGAGCCGCCGCCGGCCGCGGCCGCCGCCGCAGCGCAGCGCCCGCGAGGGCCGGCGCGGCGCCGCCCCGGGCAGAGAGGCCGAGGCGGCGGCGGCGGCCGCAGCGCGCAGCTCAGCCGCGCCGCCCAGGCCGCGCTGGCCAACCTCGGGCCCTGACCCCGGGGAAAGAGGCCCCCCCCGGAGAAACTGACTTGAGCGCAGCTGTTGGCTCTCCGCAGCCCCCCCCCCCAAAGTAGCGACAAACACGTCTGCACCGACTCTTCCGAGCCGCCGGGCGTTTGGGTTCTCACTCCGCCCCGCGGGTCTGCTACGTAGCCGGCACACCACCATCTGGCAGCCAGCGCCATTGGTACAGAAACCGCCTTCCCAGGTGTGCGGCGGGTTGCTGAGGTGAGGTAATGAAACATCCGTCGGCAATGACCATGGATGGAAGTTTTGGGTGTTTCTGGGCGCTGTGGTGTGTTATCTCAGGGCTGCAGGGCTGCATGAGCCTTGTGGCACTCCACTACGTGATGAAGGCACGGGGCAGATGAAGGGTTCTGAGGTGCGGATGAGTTGAATCACGTTTGCAGGTGGGGACGGGCACTTGAAGGTAAAGACGTGCCCCGAACTGTGTCCTGGTTAGCAGACTTCTGGGTCTCGGCGGCGCGCTGAGGGGAGAAGTGAAGGCGGCGGGGCTTCGCAGGAACCCTCCGGCCTCCTGAGAAGCCCTCTGTGGTTTCTTGGAAGGCTCAGAAACCTTTGTCTGACGGCCCGCGGCCAGAGGCCTTCCGAGCCTTCTGGGAAGGCCTGTCCCCTCTGCCTTCCCCCTTTGGCGCGCCGCCGATATGAGGCTTCTAACTTAAAATTACTGGGCACGGACTTCATTTCCATCGGCTGTTCCCTTGGGAGGAGGAGGAGGAAGAGGAGGAGGAGGAGGAAGAGGAGGGAGGTGAAAGGAGGAGGATGGAGGGAGGGTGGAGGGAGGGTGGAGGAGGGAGGGTGGAGGAGGAGGAGGAGGTGGAACTGAAGCCTCGGGCCTTCGTTGCGCTCAGCGGTTTGCCTAAGAAGAAAAGTGGAGGAGTAGGAGGAGGAGGAGGAGGAGGAGGAGGAGGGGGGAGCAGCAGGAGGGGAGGAGGAGGATGAGGATGAGGAGGGAGGAGGAGGAGGAGAGGAGGAGGGAGGAGGAGGAGGGGGAGGGCAGGGGGAGGGCAGGGGGAGCTGGAGGAGGAGGAGAAGGAGGAGGAGGAGGAGAAGGAGGAGGAGGGTGGAGGAGGAGGAGGAGGGAGGACGAGGACGAGGAGGAGGGAGGGAGGAGAAGGAGGAGGAGGAGGAGGAGGAGGAGGAGGAGGGAGAAGGAGGAGGAGGTCGCACTGCAGGCAACCCCTCCCCAGCAGCGGCCTCCCCGCGACCGCGGCCGAGCGGGAGACAGCCGTGGGCCTGATCCGCCCACCGCACCCGCCCACATCGGCGGCGAGCCCCGGGGGGAAGTGACGGGGGGAAGGCCTTCTCAGAAGGCGGAGTGGTTCTCAGAAGCCCTCGCGCTTTCTGGGAAGCTTTCCGAGCCTTCGCCAAAAACAGAGACGGCTTCTCAGAAAGCGCAAGGGCTTCTGAGAAGCCACGCCGCCTTCTGAGAAAGCCTGCCCGCCTGCCCCCTCTGCCCCCCCGCGCTCGCCGCCGACCACAGCCTCTTCTGGTTGCCCACTGCCCGTCCGTCAGCTCTCCGCGGCAGCGCTGCTCCAGTGCGGCAGGCTGCGCTGCCGGGAAGGGCCAGACACAGCGGTCTTCGATCTTATGGAGGCTGCGCCTGGGCGCGCGCGCGCCTAACACCTGCGGGCTCGTGCCACCTCGTGTGCCACAGAGGGGCACGAGTCTGCGAGCGCGCTGGGGGGCTGGTGGGCCCGGGACCCTCTCTCAAAGCTCTCAGGAGCGCTTTGGGATGGCCGCGGCGGCGGGTACATCTTCCAGAACCGCCGGACCTCAGAGATCCCCCATCTGCCCCGGTCCGATTCTGTGCCTGCCTGTCCTGGCGTTGTCTCAGATCGCGAAGGGATCTCTCAGAGGGATTGCTCAGCGATCCCCCGGAGAAATGCAGGGAGTGATCGCAGCGGGGCCCCCCATGGGCCCGCGAGGCGAGCTCATCTCCGCGGTCGTTCAGAGCCTCCTGCGCTGCACCGAGGACAGCCTGTCGCAGCGGCCGGAGGCAAGGGGCATGCAGATACGGAGGAGGAGGAGGAGGAGGAGGAGGAGGAGGAGGAGGAGGAGGAGGAGGAGGAGAAGGAGAAGGAGAAGGAGGTGGAGGAGGAGGAGGAGGAGGAGGAGGAGGAACGGAAGGAGGCGGAGGACAGTGATGGGCCGCGGAGTGGTGAGCAGGAGAGGGAGCCAGGAGGAGCGGGATGAAGAGTAGAGTAGGGCGAAGAGGATGGAGAGGACGAGGGCGAAAGGGCACGGGGGGAAACGAGGACGAGAAGACAGACGAGGAGGAGAAGCAAAAGCAGCAGCAGGAGGACGAGGAGGACGAGGTGAAGGAGTAGCTTCACCCGGAGGACTCGCACAGCACCGTGCGGAAGCAGGGCATGCGCGGCATCGGGCACCTCATCCACTTGTGGCAGCAGGTCCCCCCACAGCAGGGGGCTGGTAGAGCGAGGGAGGAGGAAGACGATGATGAGTAGGAGAGAGGAGCAGGGAGGAGAAGATGGAGGAATCATGAGGACGAGGGATGAGGGCGGAGTAGAAAGAGGAAGGGGAGGGAAAAGGGAAGAGGAAGGTGAAGGGGGAGCAGGAGGGGGAGGGCAGAGGGAGCTAAAGGAGAAGGAGGAAGCGGAGGACCAGTGTAAACCCAAGAGTCATCAACGATGTTGGAATAATCCCTCCCTCCAAGTTACCTCTTCATAGGCCCCTACAACGGTTCATTTCCACTGAGGGAGCTGTTGGAAGACAACTGTTTGAAGACCCTGAAGCAAGCCAAAACATTGTTCTCGGGATTCCAACGCCACGGATCAACCTGACTGTTGCGTCTTGACGATCCTGAATCGCGCCAGAGCGCCATTCCTGGGACTTCAACACCCCAAATCAACGTAACTGTTGCGCCCTCATAACCCTGAACCCTTCCAAAACATCATTTCTGGTACGCTGAACACGGGAATCCGTGAAACTCTTTTACATGTTGAAAGCGAACTTGCGTGGCGCTAAGGCGAGAGCCACATTTTGAAAAGGAGCCGCCCTCAGTATGTGAAGCTCTCATTTTCTTAACAACAGCGTTTTTTAGCAAATGCACGCGGCGCTAAAGTGAGAGCCAAATTTTGAAAACGGGTCGCCCTCAATCTGTAAAATTTGCGCAAATGTTTAACGTGAAGTCTCAGGCGAAACACCAGGCCCGCCCAAAAAATTGGCCTCGGGGTGCGACAGGGATAAGTTGAGTTATTGATAAGGAGAAGTAATGGAGGAGGAGGAGGAGGAGGAGGAGGAGGAGGAAGAGTAAGGAGGAGGAGGACGACGAGGAGGAGGAGAACGGACAATACAGAAGGAGTTTCGAGATTCAATGTCGGTCTGATGCTAGACAATGAGGGATAGGATGAGGAGGATGAGGATAAGGAGGAGGACAGTGAGAGGTACGGCCGAGAAATTGTCCTTACGTTGTCGCGCCGCTGGTTCTGGCCCACCACGTATCGGCGACACACGCTAGCAGCGTCCCAGTCCCCGAGCGCCAACGTCCCGAACCTTTCCCAGCCTCCCGCGAAGCGGAGCGACGCGCTATCCACTTGCAGGGCGCATGTCGCAGGGGGGGCCGCCGCCGCGACGCGCTGAGGAAAAGGCCCTGACCATGGGGGCAGGAGGGGCGGGGGGGCATGATACCTCCGGACGCCAGGGACCGCTTTCAGACGTTGCCTTGGGGGTGTCGAGTGCTCTCGGGGTGATTTCCCGCAGGTCTGCGGAGCCCCGGCGCGTCTCCACCGTCGCGCCGCGCTTCCATTCGGCCACCTCTTTCAGGGGCAGCCTTACGTAGGGAGGGATAGACGCAGGGGAGGGTGCATCGACCCCAGCCGCCCACTCATCGCCGAGAAGGGGCTGACAGCCCACCCCGCCCGAGAAAGTGCGGAGCCGCTATCGAGGGCTATCGCAGATCTATCGGCGAATGTACCCCGATTCTGTGTCGAAGTTGCCCCCCTGAGCCAGTCCCCCCCCTATCGTTGCCCCATCGATCCTGCTCTCTGCTCCCTCTCTTCATGCCGTGCCGATGTTGAACGCGCCCCCCACCGTCTGCCCTGCTCCCCCACCCTGGTTTCGTCCTCGTCGTCGGCGTCTCGTGGTCGTGTTGTCGTCGTCCTCCTCATCACCGCCATCTGCCTCCATCTTTCGAGGAAACGCAAGCATGGACGCACGCGCGTGGATTAGCGACAGGCCCCGCTCCCATACAACATCGACGCGCTCCGTCGCCCAACGAGGCGGCACTGGCTTCATATTCTGTGGGCTGCGTTCCCCTTGACATCGCTCGGACGTGTGCATTTTTCCTTCGACGAGGACCATCGAGGAGCATCCTTGATCATTTGGCGAAAAAACCACGCACGAAACCGAAAAAAACACAGGGAATGGACGTTCGAGCGATGGCGAGTCCCCGATGCGTGGATCGAGCGCCCACGCGGCAGATCCACGGATCCGCAATCCATCTCTGCGTGTGCCCGGATCTCCTCACTCTCGGCCACCACGGCCCGCGGGCGCCTCCGTCAGGCCGCTCACGGGTCGAGGTTTTTCACAGGCAGGTTTCACGAGTTGCTCCCGCGTCGACGACGACGACGACGACGACGACGACGACGACGACGACGACGACGACGACGACGACGGCAACAACGAATGCGACGGCCGCGTCGACGACTGCGACGGCGGTGGCGACGACGGCGGCAACGAGCGGCGGAGGGTGACCGAGCCGCCCCCTCCGCGCGCCCCCTGAGGGCGTCGCGGAGGACGTGCGGGCCGACGAGGACCGCGCCGTTGTCGCGGGCTGCCGTTGCTGGCCGCTCACCGCCTGCGTCGTCGTTGTCGCCGCAGTCTTCGCCGCCGCCAGCGCCGCCGCCGCCGCCGTCGCCGTCGCTGTCGCCGCTGTCCTTGTCGTCGTCGTCGTCGTCGTCGTCTTCGCCGTCGTCGTCGTCGTCTTCGTCGTCGTCGTCGTCGTCGTCGTCGTGATGATCAGGAGGCTTTCGGGCGTTTTCGCTGGTTTTCGGTGGCTTTCCAGCCTCTGATGGCTTCCAGCGGCTGCGCCTCGCCGAGAGCGTTGCAGGGGTGCCCCGATTGTCCAGAACGGCCGCCTGAGGCCCGAGTTCTATGTCCCGAAAGCTATTGGTGTCCAGGGCAACGTTAGGGAGGGATAGGCTCAAAGGGGTTGCATCGACCCCCAATTGCCCATTCGTCGCCGACAGGGACCTCACAGCCCGCGCTCCCCAGGAAAGTGCGAATACGCTATCGAGGGCCATCGCCCATCTATCGGCCATATGTCGCCGATTGCAGCTCGATGTTCCCCCCCCCTGAGCCGGCCCCCTAAACGTTTCCCCTCAGACAGTCGTCGTCGTCGTCGTCGTGGTGGTCGTCGCCGTCGTCGCGATGGTCGTCAGCGTGGCGGCCCGCGCCGTCGTCCCGATGGCCGTGGCGATGGTCGTCGTCGTGGCGGCCGCCGTCGTCGTCTCGGCGGGCCGGCCGAGGACCTGGTCCTGCGCAGGGTGCTGCCGGCCGCGTGCCTGGAGGGGCCCGGGCGGGGCTCGAGGATGGAGCCTCTAGACTTGATCCTCGAAACCTAATCCGCGAAACCTTCTCCTCGATCCCTGCTTGTCGAACCCTGATCCTCGAGCCTCGATCCCTGACCCTGGGATCCTCGGATCGAGGATCACAGTTCGAGGATCGAGTTTCGAGCATCGAGGTTCGAGGATTGGGGGTCGAGGATCAGGGTTCGAGGATCGAGCTTCGAAGATCGAGGATCGGGGTTCGCGGATCGCCGCTTTCGGCCTCGCGCGGGGGCCGTTGGGGCCCCGTTCCAGGCTAAAGGGGCCGTCGGAAGTGAAATCATTCCTTAGCCGCAGCGGTGGCGAACGCGCACCGCGTCCAGAGCCAAAGCGGTGGCGCTGACAGGCGAGTGGTACACAATGGGGCGGGGACGCAGAAGAAGGCGGCCGCGGAGGAGCGGGCAACGATAATAACGATAACAACGACAACGATAGCAGATCATCCTTGCGCTGGCTATGTTTAGTTACGGTTATTATCGTTGTTTTCGCTGTCACCGTTATCGTTGTCGAAGGGCGACGCACTCAGACCACCAGAAAGAAGCAAACTCAGGGTGAACGAAGAGCTCCGCGGGGGGCTGGATCGCCCGCGGAGGCGGGGGGGGGGGGCGGTGGAGCGTGCCGCCTAGGAGGGGCCCGCCATGGAACCGCTTGGGAGGCGGGTGGCTGGCGAAGACCGGCGGGCCTTCCGTCTCCAAAGCTCGAACGAGAACAAGTTCCAGGAGCATCAACTGTCTGGGGTCAGCGTGGATTTCTTGCACCTGGGCCCCACTCCCTGGCGCGCGGTGCGCGCCAGGGTCGGCGCCGGGGGGGCCGCCAAGGGGTCAACAAGCGGAATACAGTTGGGCCTAGACATCCACGCGGACTTACGAAATCGCGTCGCCGCGAGTGGCGCTGGAGGCGCGGACCCAAGAAATCCCCGCGAGCCGCCGAAGTTTTATGTTTCCATCAGCCAAGACAAGAGAATGAACGCACCACTTTCAGTTCAGGACGAATTATGTTGTCCGGGCCGATCCTTAGATCCAGATCGGGGAACCTTTTCGTCGTCGAGGCTTGCCGTGGCCAGGAAAGCTCCATCGTTTCTTTTCTGGCGTTCCTTATGGTAGCACGATGGCGTAGTTTGTCCTTCCTCTACTGGGAGGGAGCCCCGCTGGTCCAGGTCCCGCTGCCCCTCGAACCTTCATCAGGCTCGGGCCCTTTCCCCTCATCGCAAGGGCCTGCGGGGGCTCGGGCCGTCGTCGTGGCCGTCGTCGTCCACCCCCTCGTCCTGCTCCTCTTCCCCCACCCTCCTGCTCCTCGCTGCTCCTCCTCGCTCCTCCTTCTCCTCCTCCTCTTCCTCCTCCTCCTCCTCCTCCTCCTCCTCCTTCATCTCCCTCTTTGAGCCTGCAGGGGGTCAGGGCTTGACGCTAACCCACGTGCGAACAAAGAATCCTCCCTCCTCCTCCTCCGATGCCCGTGTGCGCTTTTGGTCCTGGGACCTCCTCCCCACCGCCCCCTGCCCGCTTTCTTGCGCGCGCGGCGGCGCGAGAACGGGGGGCGGCGGAGGAGGAGGCGGATGAGGGAGGGAGGGAGGGGGGTGGGACGGACAGCAGGTGAGAAGCAATGTGAGGGGGGAAAGAGGCCCATGGGGAACGCATGGATCCCAAATCGCCCAGTCGTCGCCGACAGTGGCCTGATAGCCCACCCCACCCAGGAACATGCGGGTTCGCTCTCGGGGGCCTGTCGCCGATCTATCGTCGACTTATCGTCGATTCGAGGTCGACGTTTCCATCCTGAGCCTGTCCCCCCTTATCGTTCCCCTCAGGGAGTCTGAGCGACTGGGGATACAGCCACTCCTTGCGTGACACATCGTGCCCGCAGGGATAGCCTGACCAAGCCATCGTTCCCCTCAGGGAGGGAGGGAGCATGATTTCTTCTAGATGTTTTATCTAGGGACGGCGCGCGTTGGAGATGCACGGGCTGCAGTAAGCGTTCTCGGGACCCCTTCCTCACCCATCCGTTATCCCTCCTGCTCCATGTTTCGTCCTCCTCCTTCATCATCTCCCCACGACCACCCACCCCGGTTGCATCGCTTGGATCCGCCCGCTATGAAGCACTTGTCGCTCTCCCGTGTAGTAGGGTTTCCCAAGGAGGCGAAGGAGAAGGAGGAGATGGAGGTGGGGAGGGAGAAGGAGAAGGCCAAACCTGGCAAGCCGTCTTGCGATCACCAATGAGGACGAAAAGGAATGGGGAGTTGTTTTGGATAACGTGGGGCTCGAACGTAAAGGTGGTTCTCATCTGGCGACCAGGTGGCGCAAGGAGTCTAGAATAACAGCAGTACGATATATTCAGATATGCAACATGAATACCGGATGTTTCCAAAACTATGTTGAAACGTTGGTCTGTCCTTGTAGTGTTCAAGCCTCTTGCCTTGGACGCCACACCTGCACGCGAGTGCGCAAAGAAGACAAAGAGGCTGCGGATGCTCTGACGTGGTAGGCTCGCCGCGGGCACTGAGACGGTGTTCGCTCGGGAGCCCCCCTCCTCGGGAAGTGACGGAATCTTTTCATTGGGGTCGAGCTTCTGGGCATGTTTGTAGCTTACACGGCCGCCCGAGCTCTTTGAAGGTATCCCCCGCCCCGCCCCCTCCTCCCCGTCCTCCCTCCTCTCTCTCTCTCTCTCTCTCTTTCTCTCTTTCTCTCTTTTGTTGTATCTCTCTCTCTCTCTCTGTCTCTGTCTCTCTCTCTCTCTCTCCCGCTCTCGCTCTCTCCCTCTCTCTCTCTCTCTCTCTCTCCTCGTGTTCCCTCCTCGGGCTGTGCCTCACGAGTTCGGGTCTGAGATCAGGACGTCCAGCGTTTCCGATGCGCGGCGTGCTGGTCGTCCAGTCGCCACAAGCTGGGCTTTGCGAGAGTGTCCTGCCCAGCCCTTCACGGTACAGGGCATGTAGTGTCCAGGACGAGCACGTACATCTTATGCCAGTTATGTCTTGCGACCCGTGCTTGCCCACAAATGCAGCACACATTTCGGCCCAGTGTGCGCGGAAGACGGCCTCTGCCGCATGGATCGGTCCGTGCGCCTGCTCGGCGTGCTCGATTCGAAATGACAGTTGGCTTGTACAACCAGCTCGGGGGATACCTTTGCAGCGGACCCAAATTTAGCGTCACACCTTTAGCGTGCGCGGCACCTGGCTGACCCAACATATGGATGACCGTTGTGAAAGTATGTTTTGTGACGGCGATGGTCTTGAATTTGTTGGTGGTTGTTGTCGGCGACATTGATGTTGTCGACTGGGAAAAGGGGCCGTATTGTGTTGTCACATGCCAGGCCGCGTCCGACTGGGATGGTCATGAGGCAGGCGTGCGTAACGTTCGGGTTCGTTTGAATTGCCCGCATGATCGCCATTCCCCTTGTTCGTTGCACTTGCATTCGTTTCGCCCCTTGTCTTTTCGGACATGCCCCTTCGGAGGCAGGCAAGCCCACTGTTCAGTCTCCCCCCTCCTTCGCCCATTCAATTTCCCCATCCCCCTCTTCTCTCCTCCATCCTCCTCCTCCTCCTCCTCCTCCTCCTCCTCCTCCTCCTTCTCCTCCTCCTCCTCCTCCTCTGCCTCCGCCTTTCCATTACACTTCCCAGTCCTCCTCCTCCTCCTCCTCCTCCGCCTCCCCCTCCTTTTCGTCCTGGTCTTCTTCCAGGTGGTTTAGCAGCGCGGATGGATTTTCCCACCCGTCCACCTAAACCCCCAGCCCAGGGGCGACCCAAGACTGGCGCGCAGCCGCGATCGCGCTCGCCCGCGTGGCACAGGCGGGCCAGGCGGGTTCGCTCCGCTGCTCGCCGGCGCCTCCAAGGGGCCAGGGACAACGAGGTGCTGCGGCTCCACCGCGGCAGCTCCGTCCCAGGACAGAAGTGTGTCAAGGCTGGCCCATCAGGTGCGCCATGGTCAGCGCGGCAGGAGCTGCTCCGCGGCCTCAATCCAGTGACTTATTCTCGAATGAAACACTTCAGTGCGGAGGCGGTTGCTGCTGCTTCACGCGCTCGCAACCGTTCGACATCAGTCTCCTTGGCCGACTTCAAAGCGCGGGTAAGCAACAATGAAAATCCTGGCGCTATCTCCAGGGCGTCCACGGAGAGCTCGCAGTCGCGTGACCAGATCGACCTCGGCACGGAGATGCTACGTTGCCCCGAGGACGCGGAGGACTTCCGCGCGGCGCATTGGCGCGGGCCCTGGGCCTCGGAGGTCGTCAATGAGTGATGGGAGGCACGGCTGTTTTCTGACGCCATCCACGCTCGCGTTCGCGACGGTCCTTTGATACCCTTATAAGTTGAAGACGTCAGGAGAGTCTCGGGCCATGGAGGCCAGAGCTGGACAAGGCATCGACCGTCTGTCCCCGCTCGACCAGGAGAGACTGCCAGACGAGGCTCTGTCCGAGCTGGCTCACTTGTTCGATATGTGCGAATTGTGCCAGACGTGGCCTTAGCAGTTGTTGGCAGCGCTGGGTAATATGACGCCTGCAAAGGCAGTTCACAATTTCGCGTCATCGGCCTCATCGGTATTGCGCGCAGGGTTTGGTCTATGGCAAGAGAGCCGCCGGTCCAGGCGCGGCCCTGGGACAATTCGACGTCCTGGGGCGCAGCCGCGAGAGGGAACTCGTCTCTCAAGGAGGCCTCCATGCGTGCTCTAGACGTTGAACTCTACACGAGACTCAAGATGGCCAATGGCCACTTCTTGGTTGATACCACGAGTTGCTACGAAATCATGGAGCCGGACACCCTCGTGAATGGCGCGTTCCGATCTGGATTTCCAGCTGTGGTGTTGCGCCTCGATTTGCAGATTTGCGCGGCTCCTAGGTTGCTCGACCAGGGAGATGCCGTCTCGCTCCCGTTCCAGGCCACCAGGAGCATCATCCAGGGCATGAGGTCGGGTACCAGTTTAGTGAAGTGCGTCGCCAGCCCAGCGATGGAGAGGCTGACAGTGGCGCGCCCTGCCTCATCCGAGCGCCTCTGGATAGACGACCTGTCAGTTGGTTACGGTGCCTTTGTCAAAGAGTCGCCGATTGAAGGCGCTGCGGCTTTGCGCGACATGCCGGGCGACGAAGGCCTCAAGCAAACGCCCGAGACGGTCACCATTTTTGCGTCGATGGAGGATGCCAAGACGATTGTGAACGGTCTCAGGCGACGTGGCATCGGCATTCAGCGCGCTCGACATGCAATTTGTTTCGGCGTCGACACGAGCCGCGGGACATGGCCGGCACGGCCCGCCAGAATCCAACGCATGGCCAACACCAAGAAGCAGTTTTTTTAAGATACAGAAAGATGTAGCAGCGTCGGGGAGATTCTTAGTTCTTTCCCAGATCGAGAGGGCAGAAGCGGGTGCCAGGCATGGGCGCCAAGCGTTGGTCCTTCCCTCCACCACCTCGCTCGACTTGCGGCGTCGCCGGGGCGCCGTTTCTGGTCGCCGACGAGGGAGATGCTCGACGACACCACTGGGTCCGAGGGCGCCCGGAGCCGACCCGGGCTACGCCCCTCCACGGCAGCGTCTGGGACAGTGGACGAAGCGTTGGCTGGAGTTTCCTCGCGTTCGCGGGCCGGATTTCTCGCGCGTGGAGTTATGCCGCCCAACATTTCGTCGACCCCCCAGAGACACATCGCGCTCGCCGCGTGCGCGGTCCGCCCACAGCTGTCATCAATTACCTCGTGAAAGCGGGCAACTCAGCGAGCTCATGTTCGTCATTGCCGTGGAAGGGTCCTAGACGAATGTCAGACGTTAGGAGGCGGGCATCGATGCCCTTGAGTTCTGCCAGAGATGCGGGGGGGGGGGGGGAACAAACAGCAACACAGTTGCATCGTGTTTGGCTTTGCTCGTGCAATCAAGGTTCCCTTGCGTTTGAGGCTTTGAATTCGCCCCTGCCCAAGGCTGTCACCCAGGCCGCCAGTTGTGAGTGTTATTGGCTGCGATGTCTCATTCCTGGTCAGATGGTTGATGACTTCCCGCCTTGTGATTATGAAGTTTGGGCTCGGAGTCGACCAGATGACGAGCCCTCCCCCCCCCCCGATTTTGGCCTCGGCTCCTCTCCCGCTCCCCCTCCACCTCTTCGGCGATGCGTCTGTAGGGGCCGATGCCCATGGCCGCGCGGGATTGGAGTTGCCATCCCGAGTTGCCCCCAACCCGCTCCTGGGACAGCTTGTAGGTTCATGTACGGACCTCTGCCTGTACGGCACCAGACCGACCCCCGATGAGAGTCGTTTTCCATGGCCACCGCTGCTTCGCACCCCCGAGGCCCTTTAGTGTTCGTTACCGACAGCAAGGACGTTTGTAGAGGTCTCTTGTCTAGGATGTTCGAGGCCCCCACGCGGCCACATTCGGATTTTTGGAGGAGGTTTGGAGAAGTCATGCAGGCGATGGCTTGTCATCCTGGTGACATCGCAGTGTTCCAAGTCCCTTCCCATGCAGTGGCTGGGGAAATCGTGTCACGCAACTTGCTAGGCCCCCAAACGGGAAGGCAACATGGTCGTGGACCATATCGCGGGTATTGCCGCTAATTTCTTTGGTGTGCCCAGTGTCGAGAGTGCGCGGGTGCTCCAGGTTGATCCGAAGCCAGGTTAATACGCGAAGGGTTGCTCAGGGCCGCTCTCGAGGCGATCATGGTTTCCAAAATGCAGTTGGCTCTAAGTTTACATTGCTATAGCCATCATCAAGTGCGTGGCTTGGCGGATTTATGTGCTGCCCGCAATGTCCCCCCCTGTTTCGCTCACGAGGTCACGGCGGGGGTATTGGGACCGCATTTCCCAAAACTTTTGGCCCAAAGTTATCAGCAAGGCTGAGATGGCGGCTCGGGGTAAGGAATTCACAAAGACTCGTTTCGCGATTGTTTTCGTATGATGTCACGTCTTGGTCTGCCTCCCGTGTCTCCCTCTTCATCCTCCCTCCACCCTTTCCTTCCCCTCCTCCATCTTCCATACCACTACGCGATCAGGCAGAGTCTCCAGAATCCCCTCCCCCATCCTCGTCCCTGAATCATTCGTCATCCCTCTCCCTCGCACCCCTCCTTGCCGCCCTCTCTCACCCTGGCCCACCTTCCAGACCTCGGGGAGGGCGGCCCGGCCCAAAAAGAAAACGCGGAGGAGCCAGAAGCCGCCGCGGCCGCCAATGGCGAGGGCGATCGCACCCTCCACCGCCATTTTCGAGGGCGTGCTCTGCCCAAAAGCCCGAGTCTGGAGCTGGCGCCGCAACGACGCGGGCGCCCACGAGAGGGCCGGGCGCCCACGAGAGGGCGGGAAGGCCCACCCAAATCCCAGAGCATCGATTCTCGAATTTTGATCGACAACGACGACGACCACGACAACGACGCCGCCGCCGACGACGAGGACGACGACGACGACGACGACGACGACGACGACGACGACGGCGACGACGACGACTAGGAGCTGGAGGGAGGAGGAGGAGGAGGAGGAGGAGGAGGAAGAGGAAGAGGAGGAGGAGGAGGAAAAGGAGGAGGAGAAGGAGGAGGAATCGGAGGAGGCGGAGGAGGAGGAGGGGGAGGAGGAAGGGGACGCAGAGGGGGCGGGGGGGCGGGGGGAGAAAGAGGGGGAGGGGAGAAGCGAGAGGAGGGGGAGGAGGCGGCGGCGACGGCGGCGACGACCGCGACGTCGACGACGAAGGGCGACGGACGCGATCGTGACGACGAGGGGCGGCGGGCAGGGCCTCACGGACGCGAGCGCCGCCGTGCAGAGGGAGGCGGTGTTGGCCGTCCAGAGGGCGTGCCAGGTCCGCTCCGTCGTGCGCGCCCTGGCCCCCTCTTGCAGCTCCGCGGCCTCTGGCTTGGGACTCCGCCTGGGACCCTCCGAGGACGCCTCCTCCTCCTCCTCCTCCTCCTCCTCCTCCTCCGCCTCCTCCTCCTCTCAGACGCGAGGGGAAGGAGAGCCAGGAGGGACTGCGGTCAGGACCCTTTGGCTTCGCGTGTCGCTCCGCCGGTCCTGGCCCACTGCGCCTCGGCGCGGCACGCAGTCCTCCTCCCAACCCCTGAGCGTCAGCGTCCCGCGCCCTTCGAGGCCTCGCTCCCCGCGGAGCGGAGCGACGCGCCGGCCGCGCGCAGGGCATGGCGTGTCGCTGGGGCCGCCGCCGCGACACGCAATGCAAAAGTTCTGGACGGTAGAACGCGAAAGAAGAAGAGAGCCAGCATTGGGTGAAACAGCCACGGGCAGAGCTGATCTGTCGACGACGCCGCCCAGCGCAGCGGGGCAGCGACACCCCAGCGGGAGAGGTTGCAGAAAAACGAGATCAGCAGTTGCCCGCTCGAGTCATGGATTTGTCTGAGAAGGGTTCTCTCGCCATCGCGCTAGCTTAGATATGCCAAGAAGTTGTCGGCGGGTGGACGGGATATTGCATTTGGTCGAGCATCGGAGGTGACGTCGAGCAGAGAGGTTCACGGCTTCAAGCTCGTCCGAATTAATTGCGCAGCATTGATGGCACCCCACAGAGAGCACCCAGCGTATTGCATTGCATATTTTGCCCGCCATACATTGTACCCCATACTGTGCAAAGTCCGTGTTGGGGCCCACCATTTGGTATCATTCCCCAAGTAAGCGGTGTTTGTTCTCGGTGGTCCGCTCTCATGGCGTGCAAGATTGATGTGTGCCGTTTGCGCTGGAGGCTGGGATCTTGGAGACCCAGTTCTTCGAGTAGGCTCTATTGTTCAGGCCTTACGGCCGTTGACGCCGACCCAAAAGTACGACGAAGCCGACCACGACGACAACGACAACGACGAGCTGATGACCCTGCCACAGGCTCCAGACATGGGGCGGGCGGTAGAGGGAGGAGGAAGAGGAGAAGGAGGAGGAGAAGGAGAAGGAGGCGCAGGAGGAGGAGGTGGAGGAGGTGGAGGAGGTGGAGGAGGAGGAGGAGAAGGAGAAGGACGAGGAGGGGGAGGGCGTCTGGAGGTGAAAACCGAGATGGAGAAAGCTTCCAGTGGCAACACCCTGGACCCCCACAGGACCCATCCCCGGGACACCCCCCGGGTCTCTCCCCCCCCTCGGCGGGGAAGGGACAAAGGGAAGGTGTTACCCTTCGACGTAACTTCGACATTGTTCGATCCCCCTTGTTTTGTTCGATCTCCCTTACGACGACGACGATTCAAAGGAGGCTGGCGCACTTGAGGCGAAAACCGACGGGTAAACCCCCCAGCGGGGGAGGGGTCACAAGCCCCGGGCCCCCCCCGGGATTCCCCATGGAACCACCCCCGGGGAGCCCCCCCAGCACCCCCCCGGCGGGGAAGGGACAAAGGGAAGGGGCTTCCCTTCGACCTAATTACCACATTGTTCGATCCCGCTTAGTTTGATCTCCCTTGCGACGCCGACGATTCAAAGGAGGCTGGTGTACTTGAGGCGAAAACCACAAGGTCACAACCCCGGGGGCCTCCCCCGGACCCCCATGGGACCAGACCACCCCTGTGACCCCCCCCCGCAGGACGCCCCCTCTTTCTCACACGCGACGACTGGACCAGCGGATTCCGTTCCTCGAGGATTGAATTCCCGTTTGATTTGCAACGCATTGCGCGTGAATGCATTACAGTGAAAACAGCGCAGCACAAGAAACAACGCAAACCTAAACCACTCAAAACAATGAGAACATCAAAGCAACATAGTTCATGTAAAACCCAAACCAAAGTAACTATCAACAATGTTCTTCACTGTTAGCGAATTTGCACTACGGGACACCACCAAGCAACTACATGAAATAACAGACGGCGGAAAACAAAGGAACTGTTGCATCCCGCCGTGCTACACTCAATTCTGCGCTGCTGCAAACTAAAGAAAAATAGACCAACTGAGCTCAACACAGAGCTGAATCATTTGACAGCGCGTTTCCTCTGATTCGACGCTGGTTTCTGTTCAGTCTGAGCTCCAGTTGATCTTTAGTCAGCAGCTTGAGTTATCGTGAGCTTGCCTTGCGCGCACGAAAACCGAACAACTCATGCGGTCGCGTTATGTCTGTCTCTACATCTCGCTCAGGCCTCACCGGCTCGGCCCAGCCGCGATGCTCTCGTTTTCTGTTCATGCGCGCGGCGGAAGTTCGTGCCGCCGGTCGGCTGGTTGCCTGCCGAGCATGGCGGAGGGCTCAGCAGCGGCCGCTGCAAGCGGCCGCTCTGCTGCTGGCATTGCTCGTGTGCCTGTCCGTAGCTGTCTTGCGCCACGGCGGCGTAGGCACGAGCCGCAGCGCGGTAGAGGTGGACGCCGTCTTCGTCACAGATTGCTCCGACGACCAAGAAGTGTGGGCGCAGGTGTTCCTGTCGCAGTGGCGGCGCGCAGGGAGCACGACGGCGCGCCTGACGCGCATACTTGCCTGCGGCCAGGAGGACGCCCGCCGGCTGGAGGAGAGCTCCCGGCTCGCCTTCGGCAGCCTCTCCGTGTTCGTGTCGCCGGAGCCCGCAGGGCGAGGCGGGGACCGCCACCCCTGCAGCAGCCGCCCCCGAGCACTCTGGCGCTGGCTGCGGGCGCGGCCGACCAGCTCCCGTGACCACTGGGTGGCGCTGCTGGACCCGGACATGCTGGTGCTCCGGCCGACGTCGCCCGAGGGCCCTTGGCGAGCGGCGGGCGGCGCGCTGGCGACCCACGGCAGCCTGCCGGCGGAGTGGCGCCTCGTCGACGTGCCCCCCGGCGTGGCATTGGCTCAGCGGTCCCGCCGCCTGCCGCAGCTCTGGCAGGAGGCGCGCCTCTCCCTCGCGGCGCTCTGCGCGGACGCCCGCGACCAGCACGCCCCGTGGGGCTGCCAGGATCGGCTGCGGGGCCTGTTCGAGGATCCCGACAGGGTCGCGGCCGACTACGCCGTCGGGCTGCCCACTCTCATCAGGGCGCAGGACCTGTGGCGAATGGCAGACGCGTGGCGGTTCTTCGCCCACCGCACCCAGGGGCAGCACCCCGAGGCGGTCGCGGAGGCGCTCGGATGGGTGCTCGCGGCGCGCCACGCCAGGGTGCGCTTCGGATACCTGGACGAGGCCATCACAGACCCGGGTGCGCCCGAGGCCGCCTGGCGCCGCATCGACGCCGGCTTGGGCGGGGACCCTTGTGCCGGGGAGGCCGCGGAGCACTTCGACACGCCCGCGGCGTACCACGGTGCGAAGCAGGAGCCCGCAGATGGCGGTGGCGGAGGGGCCACAGCCCCGCCTTGGTTGCTGCACCTCTGCGAGGCTTACGCCGTGTCCTACGCGGCTGCGGCTGGCGGCCGCGCCGAGCTCTCCCTCGATCCGCGGCAGTTGCCGTCGGCAATGCGCCCACAAACGGCCGGCCGCGACGGCGGCCGTGCAGCGAGCCACGGCGTGGGCTCCCTGCTGAACTGCAGCGCGCCCGCCCTCGAGATGCCCCCTCGGGACCTGCTGTCTCGCCGGCTCGGGCCCGTCGGCGAGGGCGGCGGCGGTGCGGGGGCGATCGAGGTCGGCGACGCGCAAGAGTGACCCAAATGGCCCTTGGTGCGGGCCGACAGGTCGGAGGGCGCCGGCGGTGCATCTGCACCGATCCTGGCCAGGCCGATGCTGGGCCCAGGATTGATTTATAGGCTTTCTTGGCCAAGGCTCGGAGGGCGTTTGCGCCGATCCTGGGCCCAGGATGGGCTTGGCCAGGATCGGTGTAGGCGTATGGAGGGCGTCCCCCCAGCAGGGGTCCCCACCCCCACACACACTGGTTTGCGCGCCTGGATCTGGCCCCCATTGCGGCCCCCAAAAGCTGCGCACCAGAGTCTACCCTGGCCTCCAGCCAGGTCGCTGAAACGAGGACCGCTCTTGGCTCACGGGGGGCTCCGGTCGCCGGGCCGTTCCTCGCAGGTCCAGGTCGGGGGACCTGCTCGTGGCCGAGGCAGGAGAGCGCCTTCGTTGCGGTAGGTTCGTGCCGTGTCGACGCGGCTGTGGCCCCAGCGCGGGCGTGCAAGGTTGAACGCCACCATACAGTCGGACCGAGGTATAAGATCGAGGTCGGTTCGGGGAGGGTACCCTAATGTTCTTCGTGTTTGCTGGATGATCTGGCGCATTCTGGGGAGGGTATCTGTGGATGTTCTGTTTGTTTTGGCCGACGGAGGGTCTCATGCTCTTGAGGGATGTTCTTTTGGCCCAGGTCCGGCTGTAGTGTTTCAGAATCGACGAGCATGGAACGATCTGGCGATCGGAAAGAGCGTGTTCTGCCGCTGCTGGCAGAAAACCAGGGGGGGCCGCTGGGGGTTCCCAACCCGTCCTGCCCCCCCCCCCTCCCCCCCTCGAAAACCGGGGTGGGTCACTACTGGTTCGAACCCCCCCCCTCCAGTCCATCATGAAGAGGGAGGGGGGTCAGTACCAGTTCCAACCCCTCCCCCCCCCCCCCTCGCCGCCAGCAAACGATTCCCGCTCTTCGGGACAGTTGGACAGTGGTGGGGATACTGGGACAGTGGTGGGGACGGTGGTGTTGGGGACTACAGTGGGACAGTGGTGCGGACAATGGGACAGTGGTGGGGACGGGGGTGGTGGGGACAGTGGTGAGGGGACAGCGGGACAGTGGTGGGGACTGTGGGGACAGTGGGACCGTGGTGGGGACGGTAGTGGTGGGGACAGTGGTGAAGGCGGTGGTGAGGACCGTGCTGGGACAGTGGGGGCAGTGGGGAGAGTGGTGGGGACAGTGGGGACAGTGGGACAGCAAAGTCGGACGGCGGCGGGGACAGTGAGGACAGTGGGACAGTGGTGGGAACAGTGGGGACAGTGGGACAGTGGTGGGGACAGCGGGGACAATGGGGAGAGTGGAACCGTGGTGGGATACTAGTGGGGACAGTGGGGACACTGGTGGGAACAGTGGGGACAGTGGGACAGTGGTGTGGGGACAGTGGGGCAGTGGTGGGGACGGTGGTGGTGGGGACAGTGGTGTGGGGACCGTGGGACAGTGGTGGGGGCAGTGGGGATAGTGGGACAGTGGTGGCGACAGTGGTGGTGGGGACACTGGTGAGGGCGGTGGCGAGGACGGTGGTGGGACAATGGGACAGGTACAGTGGGGACAGTGGTGGAAACAGTGGGAAAAGGTGGTGGGAACAGTGGGACAGCTCAGCGAGACAACGGCGGGGACAGTGGGACAGTGGAACAGTGGGGACAGTGGGGACAGTGGGGACAGTGGTGGGGACAGTGGGGAGAGTGGGACCGTGGTGGGAACAGTGGTGGGGACAGTGGGGACAGTGCGACAGTGATGGGGGCACTGGTGGGGACAGTGGGGACGGTGGTGGGAACAGTGGGGACAGTGGTGGTGGGGACAGTGGTGCTGGGGACAGCAGTGGGGGATGTGGTGCGGACGGTCGTGGGGACCTGGGAGTCGTTTGCCGGCGGTGAGGGGGGGGGGTTCGAACTAGTGACCCCCCCCCGGTTTTCTGGAAGGGGGGGGGGGGGTTCGAACCGGTAGTGACCCCCCTCGTTTTCTGGAGGGGGGGGGGGAGGTTCGAACCAGTAGTGACCCCCCCCCGGTTTTCTGGAGGGGGGGGGAGAGGGGGGGTTTCGAACCGGTAGTGACCCCCCCTGGTTTTCTGGGAGGGTGGGGGGCTCGAACCGGTAGTAACCCCTCCGGTTTTCTGGAGGGGGGGGGTTCGAACAGGTAGTGACCCCCTCCGGTTTTCTGGAGGGGGAGGGGAGGGGGAGAGGGTTCGAACCGGTAGTGACCCCCCCCTGGTTTTCCAGAGGGGGGGGGGGGGCTTGCCGTGGGGAGGGGGCGGGGGTCCAGCAGGGAGGGGGAATTTTCCACAGTAAAGCGGCGGTGGATCACGCTTTCTCGGCGATCGAGAAGCCGACCATCCTTCAATGATGAACGCCCCACACGCTGTCAGAAACAAGCGTTGGGGTCGTCACGGCACGAACCTGCCGTACTTTGCCGCGCTCCCCATGGTAGCACGATGACCTTCGGGCCATTCTTGGCTTGCAGCCGACGAGGGCCCGCACGCTGCGCCGCTGCTCCGCCGCAGCGCATGGGTCATCTGCCTGGCCCTGCGGGCGCTCAACACAGGCTTGCGGGAACACCGCCTCCGCGCGTGCCCGGTCAGCGCTGTTCCGCCTCTCACGGGGGGCGCCGTGCGCAGCCTCGCCGTTGCGGGGGTGGCAGAGCACGGTCAGGTGCCGGCCGAGCTGCTGGCCGAGCTCCATGATCATCATCGTCATCATCAGCAGCATCGCCATCGCCACCACCGTCGTCATCATCACCATCATCATCATCCTCAATGCATTATGATAATTATGATAATAGCATTAATGATGCTAGTGCTAGGGGTACTAGTAATGATGATAGTAATGGAAGCAATATCATGAATACTGGTAAAACTTATACAAACAATACTGTTATCCCTCATGATACGAATTACACTTGTGTGAACAGCAGCAGCAACAACAACACTAACTACAGCAACATAGCCAACAACAACACGAACACATGCATAATCATCATCACCACCACCACCACCACCACCACCACCACCATCATCATCATCATCATCATCATCATCATCATCATCATCATCATCATCATCATCATCATCATTATCATTATCATTATCATCAGCATCATCATAGCCAGAGTCAGATTCGTAATCACCACCCTCAGCAGCAGTATCATCATCATCAGCAGTCTTTTCATACTCATCATCACCATCATCATCAGCGTCATCATCATTATTAGCATCACCTCTATCGTCAGTATCATTACACGGATCAGCATCATCGCCATCATCGCCATCATCACCATCATCTTCATCATCATAACATCATCATCATCATCATCACCATCATCACCATCATCATCATCATCATCATCATCATCATCATCATCATCATCATCATCATCATCATCATCATCGCCATCATCGCCATCATCACCATCATCATCATCATCATCATCATCATCATCATCATCATCATCATCATCATCACCACAAGCATGCCCTGCCACATTCGACAGTGTCGACCAGGAGCGCCACAAAGGCACGGGGGGGGTCCTACGAAGGCTTGCTGGACGAGGCCCCCCCCCCCGTGGGCCCAGGAGACAAAGCGTTGCGAGGAGAGCCGCCTGCTCGTGAGGATTACCGCCTTCTTCGCGGCGGCAGCACGCAGCCGGCGGCGAGGCCGCAAGGCCCCGCCGAGGACACCGACGGGGCTGGGCGACGGAAGGAGAGCGCCTGGAGGAGATCCGCCAGGGGAACGGCAGGCGCGGGCATCGCCCAGGAGCGGGAGGAGGCAGCGCAGGCTGCCGCGGTCGCAAGGGCCAGCGCCTTCTCCCGCGAAAGATAGAAGGGCTTCAAGGCGTGGGCTATCCAGCCACTCAGCGTGGGAGGAGGAGGAGGAGGAGGAGGAGGAGGAGGAGGAGGAGGAGGAGGAGGAGGAAGAGGAGGAGGAGGAGGAGGAGGTGGAGGAGGAGGGGGAGCAGGCCGGCACGCTTACAGGAGAAGCCCACAGGGCTGGATCGCCGACGGCATCGACAGCGAGCACGGGGGCCAGTGGGAGGCCAAGCGCGAGCCGACTTGGTGTTCAAGGAATGGTGCAGCAAGGGGTGGAGGGTCAGCGACACCGACGCATGTCCGTCGGGAGGCCCACCTGGCCCAGCCTTCCCGAGGCTGACGCTGGAGGAGGCGAGAGGAGCAGCCAAGGCCTCCACGGGCACAGGGCTACGGCTGGACTAGATCAACCCGCGGGAGTTGCCAACCTCACGGACGAAACACTGGACGAGTTGATTTCCTTCGGGTGCAAGTGCGAAGGCCTCCGAGGCTACCCAGCGGCCTTCATGGAGACGGCACCCGTCATGCTTGCCCAGCCCTCGGACGGGCATCTCCCCATCGGCCTCCTCGCGTTTTTCCCCAGGTGGTGGCACCGCATCCGCCAGAACGAGGCGCGAGCATGGGACGCCTCGGTATACCCCGAAGTCCATAAGCAGGTCTGGGAGAGAAAGAGCGGAGGGAAAGGGCGGGCATGCGGGGAGGCAGTCTAGTGGAAGTCGTTCCACATAGAGGCGGTACCCAGCAGAGGGGAAGCAGTCGCGGCCATCCTGCTGGACCTCGAGAAAGCTTACGAGCTGTTCAGACTGGCCACCGGCCAGAGGAGGGCCGAAGCGGTCCACTTCCCCGCGCAGCTGCTGGTCCTCGCGGTGACGGTGTACTCGGGGCCGCGGAGGGTGTAAGTCAGCCAGGCGCTCTTAGAGGCCATCATGCTGGATTTGGGCCTACTGGTAGGATGCGGCCTCGCAGGGCGCATCCTGAAGGCCGCCATGTGGACCATGGCAACGGAGCACAACCGCATGTGTAAGGCGTTCAGGCCCAAGGTGGGCTCAGACATCATGTTCGACAACTGCACGCTGACATGCAGAGGAGACCGGGCGGCAGTTGCGGCATACATCGGGAGCGTCGCCACCAGTGCGATGACCGACCCAGAGAGCCTCAGCTGCAGGGTCAAGTACGTCAAGAGCGAGATGCTGGCATCAGACCAGGCCACTGCCGGCGCCATCGCCAGGGCCATGAACGAGCAGGCGTTGCCGCTGAAGGTCGAGGCGCGCAACCTCGGGGTCGACTTCAGCACCAGCGGGGGCGCATACACCATCGCCGGTGGAAGGCACGAGAAGAAGGCCGCCGCCCAGCTGGCGCGCGCGGCCAGCGTGAAGGCGCAGTGCAAGTCGGCCAGCAGCAGGCTCTGCCACACGGGGCTGCGGCCAGCCGCCAGCTGCGGGGCAGCCACGCGGGCCCAGCCCACCAACGTGATCACCGCGTGGAAGCGCCAGGTCGGGCCACACACTTCGGAGCAGGGGCGGCGTTGTCCCTCTCGCTCGGCTTCCTCACCTGCGCCAAGCTGAGCTACGACCCGGTGGTGGACCACCTCGCGCTCCTCATCTTGGCATGGGGGAAGGCCTTCCACCTGCGCCACGGAGCTGGGGGCCGCCGAAGCTGGGGACAGCCTCTGGGCCAAGATAATGCTGGGCCAGCCCGGAACGTGGCCCCGCGGCAGCAACACTACTGGTATACGAGCGGCTCGGATCGCAGGCGCGCCTGCTCGGACGTCGGACGGGCGACTTGGGGCGGAATTCCACCCGATGGCCATCGGCGGACACGCGCTCAGGGGCCTCATGACCGAGGCTTACACTCGGGTGCTGCAGCGGCAGGCCGCGCATGATGACGGATTACAGGGACTCCACGGCGGCGGAATTCGCGCTCAGGGACCACGCCCTGCGCACTCCCTGCGGTGTCGAGAAAGTGCCACGCCTGCCACGCCCCGCGACCCTGTGACGGATGAAAGCCGAGTTCAGGGACCACCCTTTGCGCACCCGTTGCGGTGCCGAGAACGTGCCACGAATGACGGTTTCGGCGGCAGAGTAGCCAGACCAGGCCAAGTTTGCCTCGCCGTGCGAGCCTGCAGCGCATAGAGACCGCACCCCTTACGCCCCCCATTTGGCGTCGAGGAAATGCAGCACGTAGCGCGCCCTGCGAGTATGCAACGGATAGAGGCCGCACCTCCTGCGTACCCACTCTGGCGTCGAGAGAATGCCACGCTTGCCACGTCCTGCGAATCCTACGCGTATGTGTTCCGTGGTGCGCGTGTCATGTAAGCGATTGTGTCAGCGTTTGCGTGTTTTGTGTATGTATAACATGTGTGTGGATGTCGATGAACGTGTGCCTCATGTGAGTGTCACTTTCCACGTATGCGTAGCATGAGCCTGGCGTCTATGATGCAGTGAACACGCCAGGAGTGCACTATCGTTGTCTAGTGTGCGTGCGTGTATGTGTGCGTGTGTGTGTTTTGTGTGTGTGTGTGTGTTTTGTGTGTGTGTTTGGGTGTGCGTGGTTGTGTGGTTGCGCGTTTGTGTGTTTGTGTGTGGCTGTTGGTTTGTTTGTTGGTTTGTTTGTTCGTGTGTGTGGTGTTTGTGTGTCTGTGTGTGTGGTTGTGCTTGTGCTTGTATGGTTGTGTGCTGTGTCTGTGTTTGCTGTGTGCGTGTCTGTGTGTGTGTGTGCGCGATTGTGTGTGTGTCTGTTTATGTTCCTGTGTCTGTGTGCGGGCGTGCGCGTGTGCGTGTGCGTGCAGTGTGCGTGCGCGTGAGTGTGTGTGTGTGTGCGTTTGAGTTTGTGTGTATGTTTGTGTGTGTGCTCGTGTGTGTGTGTGTGTGAATGTGTGTGTGTGTGTGAATGTGTGTGTGTGTGCGTGTGTGTGTGTGTGTGTGTGTGCGTGCGTGCGTGCGTGCGTGCGTGCGTGCGTGCGTGCGTGCGTGCGTGCGTGCGTGCGTGCGTGCGTGCGTGCGTGTGCGTGCGTGCGTGCGTGCGTGCGTGCGTGCGTGCGTGCGTGCGTGCGTGCGTGCGTGCGTGCGTGCGTGCGTGCGTGCGTGCGTGCGTGCGTGCGTGCGTGCGTGCGTGCGTGCGTGCGTGCGTGCGTGCGTGCGTGCGTGCGTGCGTGCGTGTGTGTGTGTGTGTGTGTGCGTGCGTGCGTGCGTGCGTGCGTGCGTGCGTGCGTGCGTGCGTGCGTGCGTGCGCGTGCGTGCGTGCGTGCGTGCGTGCGTGCGTGCGTGCGTGCGTGCGTGCGTGCGTGCGTGCGTGCGTGCGTGCGTGCGTGCGTGCGTGCGTGCGTGCGTGTGTGTGTGTGTGTGAGTGTGTGTGTTTGAGTGTGTGTGTGTGTTTGCGTGCTTGTGTGTGAGAGTTTGTGTGGGAGTGTGTGTGTGTGTGCGTGGCTAGTGGGCGCGTGTGTGATATGTGTGTGTGACTGTGCACACGTATGTATGTATCATGCATGCGTGCGTATGTCTGACGAGTGCACGAGCGAGGAGGAGGAGGAGGAGGAGGAGGGGTGTGGCTGGAGACGCGGGTACGACGCGGGTGGGGAAAACAACATAACCCCACTAAGCCTGTGGGGAAACACCGATGGAACATCAATGAGTTTGGCCTCTAGGAGCGTTCCTGGACGTGACCTTGGAGGCCTATCGGCCCGTCTTGGAGGCTTCCTGGGCAGTCTTGAGCGATCTTGAGGCCATCTTGGGCCATCTCTTGGGGGCCTCTTGGGGCCCCCTTGGCCTGCGGAGGCTTGGGCTCTCCCGGGGCAGTCGGGGGTGGGCGCTTTCGGGGCGTCTTGAAGGTCTCTGGTGCTTTCTTGGGGCCGTCTTTGCGGCCCCTTGGGTCGCTTGGGGGCATTACGTTGGGCCTGTGGGCCCATCCTGGACCGTGGGAAGCCCGAAAAGGCGAGATCGGCAGAACATGAAACAGCACAGCATAAGACGTATCACACATGTTGGCCTCCTGAAGGTTCTCCTGAGACCTGTTGGGGACCTCTCGGGGGCCTCTTTGGGGCCTCCTGGCCTTCGGAGGTCGTCTTGGACAATTCCTGGGAAGTCGTGGGTCCTTCTTTGGGTGCTTTAGGGCAGTCTTTGAGGTCCTTGGGGTCGTCTTGGGGGCCTCACGGGCTGTCTTGGGGCCCTCTTGGATAGTATTGTGGGCCTTTTGGGGAAGGGGGCAATTTTTGGGGCCTACGCGCCCGTTTAGGAGCGTCGGAAGCCCGAAAAGGCGAGTACCGGTAAAATCATTGGAACACAAAAGGAGCATCAAAGAGTTTGACCTCCTGGAGGTCCTCTCGGAGCCCTCTTAAGGGGCGTCTAAGGGGCCTCTTGGGCCGTCTGGGGGACATGTTGGGCCGCCTTGGGGCCATCTTTGCCATCATAAAGGCGTCTTGGGACTGTTTTGGAGGCCATCCTGGCCGTTTTGAAGGCATCTTGGCGGCCATATTCGGCCATCTTGGCCGTCGTGGGAGGATTGTGTTTGAACATTGAAGTCTTTTCCGGCTGGTCGGCAGGTTGGGCTGAAGGGCCTCTAGAAATTTCGAGAAGAACCAAACAAAACCTAACGCACGGCACGCCTTACACCACTCTGACAAGCCACAGGGGGCGGCGAATGTCGTGGCCTTCAGCCCATTTCGCCAACGCGCCCAGGTTGTAGGCCAGAGGCATTTTGAATGCTTTTTAGAGATCTTGTGGGAGGCCTCTCGGGAGCCTCTTGGAGGTGGCTTTGGGGTATCCTTGGGGCCCCTCGGAGGCCTTTGGGAGTCTGGTTTAGGCCTCTTGGAGGCTTCCTGGAGCTTCCAGGTGGCTTCTCGGGGGCCTGCTGGCGGTCTCGTGGGTGTCCTGGGGCCGAGCGCTCGAAATGTCGGTTTGTGTTCCCCCTCAGGAGCCTCTCTTGGGCCCCTTTGTGGGCTCTCTTGGGCCGCCTTGGGGGGCCTCTCGGAGCCAACTTGGGCCGTCTGGGATTCCTCTTTGGGGCCTCTTGACCGTCTGTAGGCGATCTTGGAGGCTGATTGGTCCGTCTTTGAGCGTCGAAAACCAGAACAGTTTATCACAACATTCAAACACCGAAAACAAATTAGCGAGTTTGGCCTTTGGGGGCCCTCTTGGACGTGCTACTCGGGCTCTCTCAGGGGCGTCTTAGGCCGTCCTGGGGCCATCCTGGGCGTCTTGGAGCGATCTTTCGGCGACTCGGTGCCCTTCTGGACCGTCGTGGGGCCCTCTTGGAGCCCGCTTGGCCTGTTTTGTGGCCCTCTGCGCTCCGGAACAGTCACGCGACAATTCTCACTGATCGCGTAAGGACACTCCCCGGTACGCGGCACGCCCTAGCAGAACTGGGAATTTTGGGGCCCTGGCCCTTCAATCCTCATTTACTCAGGAGGACGGAGAACTCCAAGGGACTTGAGGACACGTCCATCTCGTGCCTCGGGTCACAGTGGCGGAGATATAAATCAAGGATACGGGACAAGGATGGGGAGAAGGCGCGAGGTGCAGGAGGAGCAAAAGCAGGGAGGAGGAGCGCAGAGCGGAAGCGAAGGTTGCGGAAGAAGGGAGGGTGGAAAGGCGGATGAGACCGGAGGAGGAAGCGCCGCCCGTTCACGCAGCTTGCGCCTGTGCCCTCCGAGGAGGGGGGGAGGAGGGGGAGGAGAGGAGGAGGACGGAGGAGAAAGGATGAAGAGAGGAGCAGGCTGCGATGAGGAGGTGAGGGAGGCATCAGGAGAAGAGAGGGAGGACGGCAGCAGGAGAGGCATGAGGCAGGAGGAGAGTGACGCGTAAGAAGAAGACAATCATATAAGACGAACCGTAATAATAATAATAATAATAATAATAATAAAAGAACAATCTTAATCAACTTAATAATAGTAATACTCATAAGCATATTGATATTTATAATGATAAGAATGAAATAGTAATAATAATAATGCTAATAATCATCATCATCATCATCATCATCATCATCATCATCATCATCATCATCATCATCATCATCATCATCATCAGCGTCATCATCATCATCATCATCATCATCATCATCATCATCATCATCATCATCATCATCATCATAAGAGTAATAAGAGTAATAAGAGTCATAAGAAGAAGCTAAGGAAGTAAGCAGCGGCAGGACACGGAGAAGGAGGGAGTTACCTTCTTCCTCCCCTCCTTCCCCATTCACTCGCCCTCCCCCCTCCTCCATCGGCGACGGCGATGCCGACCGACGACGACGGCGACGGCGACGACGACGGTGGCGACGACAAGGACGGCGAAGACGACGACGACGACGACGACGACGACGACGACGGACGACGACGACGGACGACGGACGACGGACGACGGACGACGGACTGCGACGACGGACGACGGACGACGGACGACGGACGATGGGCGACGGACGACGGATGGCGGACGGCGGACGGCGGACGACAAAGACGACGACGACGACGACAACGACGACGACGACGACGACGACGACGACGCGCGCGCCCCGCGCGCACCGCGAGGTGGACCGCGCGCCCCGCGAGTGGCGGCGCCTCCTGCTCCGCAGCAGCGTCCACCTGCAGCCACTCGTGGACGCGGAGGACGACACGGCGGCGCTCCTCGATGGCAATGGCGGCGGCGGCAATGACGACAGCGGCGACGACGCCCCTGACATGTTCGCGTCATGGAACGGTCGCGATGGAAGGTTTTGCCATTTTACAGCCTCCAGGGGCCCTCGCCGGGCCCCCGGGCCGTCCCCGGGATGAAGAGCCAGTTCCCAGGGAAGGGGTCCAGACCTCTGGGGGGATCACGACGTCGGACGCCTGGGGGCGACACCGCCACTCGGACGGCGACGACGGCGACGATGCTGGCGGCGCCAGTGAAAGCGGCGGCGGCGACGACGGCGGCGGCGGCCGCGACGGCAACAACGGCTCGTACTCCTGCTCCTTCCTCTCCCGTCTGGGCGCGCTCTTCTGTCCGTCCTCCTCGTCCTGCCACCTGCTCCCCAAGGGCAGGTGCGGGCAGACAAGACAAGAGCCCTTGCAAGCCAATGGTTCGATGTCTTGCTGATTTGGAAGCTGGGCACAGTTAGAGAACATGGACGGACAATCTGACATTTGGCTCTGTGAGCGCTGTGAGGAGCGCCTACCAGCCGTTCCACGTGCCCCTCCGTGGCCCTCCAGAGGCATCTTATCCCTTAAGAGCTCTAGGTGCGAGTCAAGAAGCCGCAATCCTATCAATTCCTGCTTCGTCACTGCTCTCAGGGGAGGGCAAGCAGGGGGAACGGGGAAGGGGACTCAACCCAGGAGAGAGGGATATCATTATTCATAAGCCGAACCTGGGAGGCCCTTCGGAGTAAAGTGGGCATATCTATACTGGGCTCCACATGGGTTCCCGACCTATGAGAAACGTAAAGAAACCACGGGCTCTTGAAGTAGTTTTACGAACAGGCCTATAGGATCTAGACATGTGGCTGGCGAGGGCGTGGTCGCTCAGAACTCCTAGAATCATCTATAGCATTTTCTCGATCCTGCTATGGCGGTCAGCCTGGCCCAATGTCCATGTCTGTGCCCTTTGTCGCCGCTTCTCTTGTGGACCTGCTTCTGGTCCGCCTCGTGGGAAGGTGCGATCCTCGCCAGTAGCTTCTCGGCATCTCTCTCCATGGCGCCACGCGGCGCTGAGCCTGGTTTGAACGTCCCGCCCTGGTGTTCGACCGTCCTGCAGAGAGCCGAATGCAGACTCAGCAGCTCCTTGTTGCTGCTGTCCTTGATTATTAGGGTCTGTTGCGCTGGCGCCAGCATAAACTGTAGCTTGTATAGTTGGGTCTCCGTGTGATGTTCCTTGTCGTAGTACCAGCCCCGAAGACGAAGGAACCGCATATTCTCCTGAACCATGCGAAGGGCTGCCTCCTTGTTCATACCCACCAATTCATTCCAATACCGTGTGGGAGCCTGCTTGGTCCGGAGTGGTAGGCCTAGAGGTTGATTTACAAAGTAGACTAGAAGCCAGGGAAATATGTGCGGCCACGGCAGGCCCAGACCATGGTCCTTGCCGTCCGACTTGCGTTTGTTGTTGTAGTCTTGGCCCGCCTGTTGGATGATGGTCACCATGCCTGCGGTCGGCGTCACCAGGTAGCAGGTGAAGATGGCGCCGATAAGCTCCGCCAATTCGCGGCTGTTGTAAAGCGCCAGGCGGCCCAAGATGGTTAACGAGGGCCGTCCGTACTCCTCCAGCTCCTCATTTGTCCTTGAAGACCTCCACCTGCAGCTTGGCTGGCCTGGTGTCCTGCGAGCCCTCCCTTGCTCCGTCTACCTTGCGTTTCCCCGATGGGGGCTTGAACCAGTCTGGAGCAGCCGCCGCCTTCATCGTCCAGCACTGGCAGGAGAGCAAAACAAGAACGACATTATTTCAATAATTTCTCTGTCGGGCCTCGTTGAGCCTCGCACAACGGACAAAGTAATGATGACTCCGGCGTGGTTTGATAAGTCGTACTCCTGAAATACACAGATTCCTGTCTTGAAATCTGTGCGGCGCGCTGATGTTCCGAATTGTCGCGTTCGAAGATACTCTGGCAGACGAAGCACGGATTTGAATACATCGCTTGTCTCAGGGCCGTTCGATGCCCGTGGTGAGTCTGACCAATGGACCAGTTGCTGCCGTTTATTGTGAAAGGCTCTTGGGGAACCTCTGCCTGGGCATCTGAAGTCCCAAGGCTCAACCAATTGGCTGTCAGGCGACGACGTGAGGTAGCCAGGGGGGATACATTATCCGAGCCATTTCGCCGTGAGGATGTGGGGGTCCAGTGAGCTCTGGGGAGGTGAACAGCGGTTAAACTCCTGAATCATCTTGTATTCAGCGTCCCCCAGGTCCTAGAGAGAAACAATGCCATTGACGAACCCCCTGGCCTCAGGACAGGCACAATCAGGAAGTTGGCCCATGTCGCGTAGGATATTGAGACCACACTCCTCATCCACCCTAATTGTACCTCATAGGGCTCCCCAGTCGACCGCATGTTATGGGGGGCCCCGTGCCCAGGACTGGTGCCATTTAGCGCGACGCGAGCCCGAGATTCGACTTCGAGGGCCGCGATCATCCAATATCGAAATGCAGCATCGTTCGAAGCAGCGGCCAGGTGGGACCCATTCGCAAGCAGCGTACATCCTCATGGTTTTACTGACATGCCCCAAAACAGTTATGAGCCCCGATTTTCTCGCGCTGGGCTGGGGTCAGTGCATATGCATCCAGCCCCGCATTGCTGGGCCCGAAATACGATTGAGGGAGGCGTTTTCTGGCTGTCGGCAGGCGCTCCTGGTACCTGCATTGGCCCATGGCTCAGCATCCAACACTCATCGCGCCCAAACGACACGGGAGCTCGCTGATGAACGTAGCACTTGCCCGAATAAGTCCCCCAAGTATGTCGCGCAATCCTGCGCTCGGCCAGCCATTGCAAGTTGCCCGTCACGAGATCGGCGACGCATGGATTGAGAATCGTTGCCAAGCACTGCCACCACGGTCTCATTCTTGGAAGTGTTGATGAGGTAGTTGCCCTTCTGCATGCGGTTGCTGATGGTGCCTTCATTTGATCGCGATTTCTGGTCAAATACAACTCGAGCATCTTCATGTGTGCCATTTGAAATAAGCACACGAATGGCGTCGTCAACGTAGTTTTGCGAAAGGAGAGGTCAAGCAGCTCGAAGTCGTCGTTAACCGTAGGCATGTCCACCACGCGCCACTGCGCTGTCTCATCGCCTGCGCCGCTGCACTAGTCCTGCGCCCCCTGAGATAATTGGCCCATATCCCCGTCGAGCGCCTCGACCGCCCATGGGTCTCGACGTGGTTCGGCTTCGCAAACAGGACCCCTTCGGGGCCATGAAAACAGATCGCCAGACGTCAGGCAAAAACATGCCTGCCAAATATCGCCCTCAGGTCTCGCGCGATCGTCGAGCTGCAATCGGCGAGCGCTCAGACCAGGGGGGGCCCGAAGGCGTTCGTGACACCCTTATGACTTCGAATAGTTTGAAGCCCCAGCCGTCGCGATCTCCATCCAGCCGATTGCCGCTCCACCATGGGCGTTTCGGTGGAAGGCCACGCATCCGCGCGAGAAATTCGTTTCCGAGTTGCGTTGCGAAGGGCAAATGCGCGTTGAGATGAGCGTTTTCCCAAACTGACATAAGACGCGAATGGCCCGCTTCCAAGGAGTCGCCACCCCATTCTGCAAATTCTCTGATAGACGCACCTCGCCTGCACGATACATACATACATACATACATACATACATACATACATACATACATACATACATACATACATACATACATACATACATACATACATATATGCATATATATACATATATATAGGTGACGCATCATATTCTTCGGGTGCGACTTCCACGCAACTCAACCTTCGGAGCCCCATATCCAAGTCCACGATACGTCGTGCGAGATGTTCGTCTGGAAGGGTGGAATAGCATGCAAACCGTGCAAGTCGTAAATACCATGGCGGAGCTGCGTTTATTGTTGCCGCGACTCGAATACGTTGACCGATGAGCCTCGGCTTCGTCGCATGCCCAATCCCATCCGCGTCGTGGCCATGGCCCCATGCTAACCTTATACTTAATATCATCTGACCCATAGAGATAACCACCAACACGATGTTCCCAGCTAGGAATGAGATTTGCTTCCACGCCGCCTTCGCCAGATGAAAGTTCGAAATGCCTGCGCAAAGCCTCATGGGATGGCAGCGCCGCGACCGCTCTCCTGCAGTTTCGCCTGCGACGGCCCGCCCCTCAGGCAGAAGTTGCTAAAGCTTCGCCACCTCTACGTTGCGTTCCTGGCGGCAAGCTCGCGCGAGCTCTCGAGTAACCCCCCGCCGCCGCGCCAAGGGCGAGGGGCAGCTCGTTGGCTCGAGGGCGAGGGGCAACTTGCGTGAGCTCTCGCCTGTTGCTCAAGGGTGAGGGCAACTTTGTTAACGCGCTGCCGGACCCTGTACATGTCGGATATCTCTTCGCCTTCGCGCTCCGAGGCCGGCGCGGGCAACTCGGCGCACCACTTCGACAGCCCGCGGGGGAAGATGAGGGGGGCGAAGAAGCCGCGTGGCGGCCGCGCTCCTTCATCTCCATTCACTCCGCTCTTGGCTAATACCCGCGAGGACGGATGCCAGCGCATTGGAGAGGGCGACGACGACGGGGGACCAGGATCCTCCAGCCGGACCTCGGGGGCCAGGAGCCGGTCGCCACGGCGGGCCTTGCGGAGCTGCTCAAGAACCAGTTGGAGCCGATGGCAGCGGCGATGACAGAGCTGAAGGACCCCAACTCGAAGCTATCCGATCGCCTGGAGTCTCTGGAGATGCATTTGTGCATGACGGACGCACGGGCGGAGAAGTTGGAGACCATCTGCGACGACTGGATGAAGAACGGCTCCCCCCCCCACCAACCTAGAGGAGAAGATCCGGGAGGGCGTCGAAGCGCGCGCGAAGACCGAGGCAGGGCAGCAGTCAGGCGGGGCCTCTAAGGACACGCCCCTCAGCAAGCGCGCAATCACTGCAGTCACCAGGAACTTGGATGGCCCCACGAACCTCGAGACCGCGACGGAGTGGCGCAAGGAAAAGCTCGCCTCGCCCCATGCGCCGCCCCCCAGCAAAGTCTACAGCAGGGGCCCGTTCAAAGGCCTCATCTTTGCAGAATCCGGGAGCACTGTCGATCGTTACTCCGCGGTGGAGTCGCTCAGCGACGTAGGCTTGCAGCGCGGGGCGAAGCGCGCAAGGGCTAGTCAAGACTGTTCTCTCGCGGAACGGGCTGCTCGCAACTACTGCTTCGGCCTGAAGCGCGCGCTCCGGTCGAAGCGGCAGGTACTTCGCGCCATCGAGATCTCCGAGACGGCGCCGTGCGTGGTGAAGGTCGGAAGGGGAGCATGCCCCTACGGTCGCGATCTTTAACGACGATGTCCAGCACTTGTGGCAGGGCGAATGGGCGACCTGGGAGGAGCTCCACAGCCGCCGTCTCATCAAAGAGCTCGAGTGCAAATGCCAGGAATTGTTGAACAGGCCGTCATCCCGCATGAAGGGCGGCCAAAGGCGGCGCCAGGGGACAGCCTGCCCAATTGGATGCACGGCGCGCGAGCAGTGTTTCACCCGTTTTACGCGCAGTAGCCGACATTGCTAATATTTTTGCAAGCACTTCAAGAATTCATCATAGCACATCGTGCGATGCTCCCCCTGCAGCCAGCTCTGCTGCAGAGGCTCTTCTGTTCCGTGGTGGACGTATTCTTCCTCGCGAGCGTCGCTTGCGCGCTGCTTCGTGGAATGTGGAGGGCCTGACGGATGTAAAGCGGATTGAGCTGGAGTAGCACATGAACAGTTTGACATTGACATCTCTTGTTTAAAGAAACACATACGATTGGATTCACATACCACATCGCAGAGGCTGGATACCTACTCGCTCTTTCCGACACCCCTAAGGACGACGCAAGCGAGACATCGGGAGTTGGCTTCATGGCAGCACCGCACACACACACACACACACCGATGCTGGCCAGGCACATCCTGCGCCCAAGATTGGTGTGCATCCATCCCTGGCCAAGTCGGGAGGGCGAATGTACCGATCCTGGGCTCAGGATCGGCCTGGCCAGAACCAGCGGTATGCACATTTATCGTTTCTCTGAAGGCTCCTCAGAAGTCTGGGAGTCCTCTTTGAGGGGACGCTTATTTTTAGAATGAGGAGAGTTTGGCTGCATGGCACGTCGCCCACCCCTCCCCCCCCCTTCCGCTGCCTCTTGAAACAGCGCTGGGCCGAGAAGGCATGCAGGCGAGTCCAGTCCCGACTTGGCGTGCAAGTCGGTCCAGATTCCCGTTCGGGCCTCGCCTCGCCCCCCTCACCTCTCCCTATTCGTGCAAGCGAGCCTGCCGGAGTCTGAAGGAGAACGGCCTCTGAGAATCCCCCCGCCTCATGCCCTGCCTTCTGGGCAGCAAGCCCCCGCACACCCAGCCTCCTCGGCGACGCTCCCCCCGCGCGCGTGCCCACCTCGCGCGCTGCCAAGCCGGTGGATTCGGGACCTGTCTCGGGCCCCCAGCGGCCGCTCGGGACGCGATCTGGGTGCCCTCGCTCTCGGCGAGGCGCATCTTCTTGGAAGGCACCCCGAGGGCCGAGGGCCGGCGAAAACGCACGAACCTCGACCACAGAACCTCGATCCCCGGACACCCGCCTGGTTCAAATATTGCTGCTCTCACTTTGACTCCTTGCCCTGAATACTCGCCAGCCTATGACCCACACTCGCGTACGTTGGAGTGTCAAAGAAACCAGCTGACGACGGGACGACTCCAGCCTCTCTTCGAAGCATCTTCGAAACCCTTACTTGCAGGTAAGGGGTTCCGACCGCTTCCCTTGGGGTAGCCCCTCGTCCCGGACCAGTGTTTGCTGGTGCCGGAGTGCCCGAGAGAGAGGCCCCCGAGGGCTGGAATGGAGGGAAAAAGCATGTTGAGAAAAAGCCCTATCGTCGGAGCTCAGGGACTGGGGCAAACGCACGAAGCTCGATTCCAAAATCTCGATCCCCTCGCGACCCCCAATCGCCTGAAACTGAAGGAAAAAGCATGTTGAAAAAAGTCCTATCGTCGGAGATCAGGGACTGGGGCAGACGCACGAAGCTCGATTCCAAAATCTCGATCCCCTCGCGACCCCCAATCGCCCATTGGTCGCCGATGGTGGCCCGATAATTAGCCCGGCCCCACCCGCGAGCGTGAGGCATCGCGATGGGCGGCCTGTCGCAGATCTAGCGGCGATGCAGCGCCGAGTCCAGGCCGATGTGATTCCCCCTGAGCTGGACCCCCTTCAAAACCCAGACATCTTATGCTTTGGTTTGTTGCGTACGAGGTCCCTGAAAGTCCCGACCCTTTCCCCAGGGCCAGCTGGCCTCTTCGGGGCCTTTTGGGGCCTCCTGGGCGCCCCATTGGCGCCGTCATGGGGCACTCTTGGGAGCCTTGGGAACCATTTTGGGGCCATCTTGGAGGGGTTCGATCAAAGAGGGGGGTACTTAATTGGAGCTCCCCACGAGTCCTGAGCCGTTTTGGGCATCCTCTGAGCCGTCTTTGGGGAAAGCTTGGCCAGGGCCCCAGGGGCCGAAAACGACGAACAAAACTTTCGTCTGGAGATTCCCCAAGTCAGAGCTTGCCTCTGTAGGGGTCCTGGCGGATTCATGCGGTTAGGTGAGCGGTGCCGCCGATTTCCGCGGCCCGCCCGGGTGCCCAGGTGCCCGGGTGCCCGGGTGCTTGGGTGCTTTGTAGCCCTATAGCCTTATAGCCCTATAGCCCTATAGCTTTGTAGCCCTATAGCCCTATCACCCTATACCCTTATAGCCCTAGAGCCTTATAGCCCTATAGCCCCATAGCCCTATAGCCCTATAGCCCTATAACCTTATAGCCTAATAGGCCTAGAGCCCTAGAGTTCTGAACCCTTGTAGCTCTATAGCCCTATAGCCCTATAGCCCTATAACCCCATAGCCCTATAGCCCTATGGCCCTACAGCCCTGCAGCCCCATAGCCTTATAGCCCCAGAGCCCCAGAGCCCTATAGTCCTATGGTCCTATAGCCCTATAGCCCTATAGACTCATAGCCCTATAGCTCTATACACCTATAGCCGTATAGCCTAATAGCCCCATAGCCCTAATTCCCTATAGCCCTATGGTCCTATAGCCCCATAGCCCCATAGCCCTATAGACTCATAGCCCTATGCCCCTATAGCTCCAGAGCCCAAGAGCCCCACAGCCCTATAGCCCTACAGCCCTGTAGCCCGATGGCCCTATAGCCCTATAGACCTATGGCCCTATCGCCCTATAGCACAATAGCCCCATAGCTCTATAGCTCTAAACAGACTTTGGGTTTTCTCATGTATCATAGAAAATTCGTTGGATGTTTGGGAAGGTGTGTCCCCTCGGGGGCCCCTTTGTGCGCGCGGACTAGCCAACTTACTCGACGCGGGGATCCCCATATGTGCATCTCAATTTCCTGGTACATCTTTTTTTTATGGGCATCCGTGAATGAGCGCCTGTGTGTGAGGGCGAGCCTCTTACTCGAGACACCTCTATATTCCTCCTCCTCCTCCTCCTCCTCCTCCTCCTCCTTCTCCTCCTCCTCCTCCTCCTCCTCTTCCGTGGCCATTTTGGCTCAAGGCTGATGCTTTGGCGGGCGGAGCCCGCATTGGCATTCACGGATACCGCTATTCCGCGGCAGTGCCAGGACGCTTGCGTCCGACAGCTTCTCTTGCCTCCACTGAGGAGTTGGGCTCCCTCACTGAGTTTGTTGCAGCATTCATGGGAGGCAAGAAGTATGGCCGCGCCTGGAGTCGATGCGAGGGCTGCCAGAATTGGATCTGGAACACCAAGCTCATCGCGCAGGACTGCGTCTGCCAGTGTGGACACAAGGTTCAGCTGTGGGCGCCGTGGAACTCCGTGGCCAGGCACAAGAACGACCCTTCCAACACCAATGAGAAGAAGTTGCGCGACCTCCTCAAGGCTGATCTTCCCCCTGCAGTGGCAGCTGCGATCCAGACGGAGCTGCAGCAGGCGAAGAAGCCGCCGCCCACGGACGCGTGGGAGGCGGCTCAGAAGGCCAAGCAGAAGCTACGCAAGACGGAGCAGGCCACTCAGAAGGCGGCGATGGGCGTGCTACGGGCTGGCGCCGACCTTGAGACGGCCTCAGAGGTGCACGCGTCCAAGGTGGAAGAGCAGGCGATGGCTGAGCTCGCCTACCAGAAGGCGCTCTCCACGCTGCAGACGGAGCAGGCACGTGAAGCACCTCAGCGGAACAAGGCCATCATCGACTACGACATCTTCGAGACCGCGGACCCCGCGGACATGGACGAGAACGAGCGCAAGACACTCATGGAGTACAAGAAGGAGTTCGACGCCGCCAGGCCGCAGCTGGAGTCGGCGGTGCAGAAGCTCCAGGACCTCATGGAGTCCATCAAGCGCTTCGACCAGGAGCGCGTCGCCAAGCGGAGGCGCCAGGAGGAAGGCGGGGAGGCGTCATCGGCCGACGCAGCCCGCGGCGGCGGCGCTGGCGGCCCACCTGCCATGCCAGCGGCCCCTGGGGCCGCAACCGCCCCAGCGCCCGCGCCCCCTCAGCCTCCGCTGGGCGGCGAGTGGCTCAAGACGCTGTCCGACGACTCGCTGCGCCAGGCCGCCGAGGCCTCCAAGACCAAGACGCAGCTGCTACCGCATCCCAAGGCCGCTGGCCTGGCTGCTGGCTTTGGCGCTCCTGCTCAGCCAGAGCGGGGGTAGTGATGCCTGCCCCGTTGCCGCTCAGCCTGTTGTGGAAGAGGCCCAGCTGTTCTTCTCGGACATCACTGAGTGGGGCCCTCAGGCTGAGCGTTGGGTGGCGTCCACTGGCAAGCGCTATCAGGTACTGGCCATGGTCGAGACGCATATATCACAGGCCAAACAGCAGCAGGAGTTTCTTAAGCTTGACAAGGATGATTGGAGATCCTCCACATGTTATGCAGTGCCGACGGGTCGATCTGCAGAGGGCACGACGGGCGGAGAGATGGTCTTAGCTCGTAAGTCGGTGGCTGCATCCACCTTCGACGCTATGAGACACCAGAGCCGCCAGTTGCATGCAGTTGATCCGTGTCACGGCTTCGCCCCGATGACGTGGCATCGCAAGACAGGCAATTTGGTCGCGATAGCCTTCTACATCGAACCGCACCACTCGATCACGGGCCCCGTTCATGAGCGCATGGTCGCACTCACCGCTTTCTTGGACATGTTGGCGGACCCTTGGATTGTATTAGCAGATTGGAATATGACGCCGTGTCAACTGGCTGACAGCGGCTACCCTGAGGAGTGGGGTGGCTCCATTCTTGTTGCCCCTGGTTCTGCAGCGCGTGATAAAGGCTCGGGTTCGACCATTGACTACGCGGTGGTGAAGCGCGGCTGGGAGATGTCCGCGGTCATTCGCCAGGTGCACGATGTACCATGGGGAACGCACTGCGGCCTGGAGGTCTGCGCGGGCGAGCCCCAGCCCTGGCGCTTTCGTGCTCTGGCCCTCCCTGCAGATCTGCCCTGCCCCCCCAGGCCGCAGAGACAGGCGGACCCCAACAGCAAGACATCATTGAGGAAGATGGCAGCGCTAGACAAGAGGCGCAACCAATTGCCTGACACATTGCAGGAGGCGTTTGGTGAGTTCACCCAGTCACATGAGGCCTCAGCAGCGCCTCCAGCCTCGGTTGCAGCGGATGTCGACTATGTGAGCGGCGTCGACTTTGCCATCCCCCTGAACCTCTGGAGGCGGCACCAGGACGACACGAGGGACACGCTGAGCACTTTCGACGTGAATGGCACGCTGAGCACCTACGACACGGCTGGGCCCCCAGAGAAGGCAGGCTCGCAGCACCCTACAGGGAAGAATCGCCTGCTGGAGGGGGCCCCATTTGTCTCTCTTGGGACGGCCGAGGAGATGGATTGCATGCCATTAAGGGGGGCGGGAGCCCCAAGAGCCCATACGGGTGGCCACGGGCCTCAAATCGTGGGAGCGTGCTCGCCCCCCTTGGAGCTGCTCGGCAAGGTCGGGGCTGGTGCGACTGGAGTTGCTACAGCTGCTGGCATGGACGCGACTGACCCCTTGAGGGACACGCTGGGCACTCTCGACGTGAATGGCACGCTGAGCACCTATGACACGGCTGGGCCCCCAGAGAAGGCAGGCTTGCAGCACCCGCCAGGGAAGACCCGCCTGCTGGAGGGGGCCCCAATATGTCTCTCTTGGGATGGTCCAGGAGATGGATTGTATGCCATTAAGGGGGGCGGGGGCCCCAAGAGCCCATACGGGTGGCCACGGGCCTCAAATCGTGGGAGCGTGCTCGCCCCCCCTAGAGCTGCTCGGCAAGGTCGGGGCTGGTGCCACTGGAGTTGCTACAGCTGCTGGCAAGGACGTGACTGACCCCTTGTCCAAACCTTTTGCTCGACGCAAGGAAGAAAAACATGCCCCAGGTTCCTCGGACCCTGGAGTTGTCAGGACGAATGCGGCCCACCCGAGGCCATCGGATCTATCTTGGGGTCTACCTCCTCATTTTCTGCACGAGAGGGACCCTGAGGCGACCACGCTTGTTTCGACCCACTATGCCAAGTGGATGACGACCTTTGAGGCAACGGTTTTGAATCATCACGCTGTTCCAGAAGCGAAGCAAGCCGCCTACTCTGGGAGAGCAAACAGTGTTCACTTCCAATGGAAGAAGACGACGGCTTGCCCTGGACGTACTCACATAAAGCACGAGCCTGCAGAATGGTGGGCGATTACCTTGACGTTGGTCAAGAAGATTCTCGCGCTGTGCAAGCATCAGAGGCATGAGAACCTCGTAATGTCTAATCTCACCCTCTTGCATCAGAGGGTCACGGACCTCCACGGGAAGCGAGACCTGCTGCTGCCGAAGGTGGAGGAGGATGAGGTTTTCAGATGGTCTGAGCTGGCACGCACCATCACGATCCTGGATAACGACGAACGATCGGAACTCATCTGCCGCACGGAGGCTTGGTCAGGCCGTGCGGCCGCTCATGCCTCTTACCAGCCCAAGAAGAAGTATTCGGGTTGGCTGGCCGACATGTGGAAGGCGAAGCCTGGTGTCTTGCATCGCCAGGTCAAGCCGCAGGAGCAACAGCGTCTGGAGATCTACATCAGCGGCACAACGGTCTCCAACCCGAACCTGATCATGGATGCGAAGCGGCAGGAGTGGGAGAAGGTTTGGACACCTCGCGAGTCCAAGCAGCATATTCTGGATGCTCTGGATAAGGCTCGTCGTCAGATTCGGGAGGACCCTCCTGATGCCATTCAACTGGAGCAGCTGAAGCGCACCTTGATTATTATGCCAGCCTCCAAGGCTAAGGGTGTGGACATGATTGGGCCACGGGATATGTTGCGCTTACCTGATGAGGCCCTCCAGCAGTACACTGACATGCTCAATGTTATCGAGACGCAAGGTGTCTGGCCTCCCCAGGTCATGGCCACACTGGCGGCCATGGCGCCGAAGAAAGCAGGAGGCGATCGTGTGCTAGGTGTTCTCCCTCACATTGCACGCACCTGGAGTCGCATCAGAGGAGCTGCCTCTGATATGTGGAGTGATGGATTGCATGACTTCTGGTGTACGGCGATGAAAGGCTCATCGGCCCTCTCTGCAGCACTGCATCGAGCTTTTCTAGACGAGCCGGCGGTCACCATGGGCTTGACAGTTGGCACCCTACTGATGGACCTGGCTAAGTTCTATGACCATGTAAAGTTGGCGAGGCTCATCGAAGTTGGATTGGATGAGGAGTTTCCTGCCATATGTCTGCTGTTGGAGGTTCAGCTTTTTCTCAGCCCCAGGATTCTACGAGCACAGGGCTGGATTGCTGAGCCCATCTACGCTCTCCAAGGAATTGTTGCGGGCTCCCCTCGCGGAGTCATCCTGGCGAGGCTGTTCTTGCTCCCCATCCTCACGCATGCCCAGCGACGAGCGGAGGGAGCTACTATGTGGACCTTCGTGGACGACACGGTGGCAAGGTCGGAGGGCACGGCAGCCTCAGTGTTGCAGCAGTTGACCAAGGCGGGGGCGGAATTGAAGGCTGCTCTGGATCACGCTGAGCTCCCTGTCTCCGACAAGACCGTGGTCCTCTCTAACAACAAGCAAGTGCGCGTGATGCTGGAGCGCAATCTTCGACGCCGTGGAGTGCCTGTCTCTGCTACGACGACGGCCACCGACTTGGGCATCGACATGGCAGCGGGCACGCGCAGAGTCCAGAAGAAAGCTGGAGAACGGGCTCGTGCGGCCACCACCAGGACCAAGCGCATAGTGAAGATGCGCAACACGGCTCAACAGGCACGTATCGCCAAGGGCCTCTGGGCCACAGGCTCCCTGCCTCAGGGAGTCTATGGCCATCAAGTGCGAGGGTTGGCTCGACATGCACTTTTGAGATGGAGGAGGCAGGCAGCAGCAGCTGCCACTGGTCAAGCGGCGGGGCGCTGTTTAACCACGCTGCTGGGTACCACGTTCGACGGAGCGGATCCTGGAGTTCAGCTTCGTGCGCAGTCTCTTCGACAGTGGATCAGATTCTGGCAAGACCAGCCTCATCTCCATCAGCGCATTCGACGGACGTGGGCCTTGCTGAAGACTAAGTTGACCATCGCAGGCCCGAAGATCTGGTCTTACGTCACGGGCCCGACTGGGGCCGCTATTGCTACACTGTTGGAAGCTGGCTGGGATCCCAAAGCGGCTGACTGCTGGCAACGAGTTCACGATGAGTACTTGGAGGAATGGACACTCCCAGACGATGGAGCAGAGTTGGTCGACCTCGACTACGAGTCCGTCCTCGACGATTTTGCGGAGGACCTCCAGAGCAGGCTCTGGGCGACGGCGGCGGCGCACGAGCACGGCGCTTCCCTCGCCTGCGGGGCCCACCTGACCATGATCAGGATCGAGCAGCGGAGGTTCCTTGCGTCAGGAAAAATATCGTCATGGGCATTGAACAATTGTGTGGTCTCTGGGGGTCAGTGGACTCGTGAGCGCCTCCATCAGTCTGGGTATCAAGTCAATCGCTTGTGTGATCGTTGCAGCTCTGGGGCCATTGAGGATCTCCCCCATCGCATTTGGAAGTGCTCGGCGAATGAGGGCCCCGAGGTCTCAGCTAGTGATCATTTGGTCCCCCAGGCCCTTGCGGGCTTGGAGCAGGACCCCGCTCTTTGGCTTAGAGGTGTGCCCAGTCTCTCCTCCACTACTCCCTCCTTTGCCTCGTGGGACGGGGGTGGGGTGGAGGTGGTGGGTCCTGATGGTGAAGGTAAGCCTCGCTGGGAAGCCTGCAGAGACCCTCATGGGCGCCTCACTCTTTTCGGGGACGGCTCTGGAGGAGCCTTTTCGGATGATCCTCGGAGGCGCCGATGTGGATGGTCGGTTGCGGCGCTCGTCCCAGACGGGGCTGGCCGGTGGCGAGGCCACACTGGCCTCTTCGGCCCGCTTGAAGGCCGACGGCAAACGGTTCCGCGAGCTGAATTATTGGCGCTTTGTGTTGCGGTTGAAGAAAGCTCGGGGCCTCTGACGTTTGTGACCGACCATAAGCTCCTCCTTAATGGGTGGGGCCAGGGTTGGACTCGGAGGCCCCCTGGAGCTTGGTCTCGGCGTCTCAAGAACTGGGATCTTTGGGCCAGGCTACGCAGGGCGTTGGAGCAACTTCCTGGGCGCGATGTGGCCTTGGCGTGGACCCCTTCCCATCAGGATGAGACGCCGGAGGCAATCACCAACCCTTTTTATGCCTGTGGCAACATCGTGGCAGATGCATGGGCAGGCCAAGGAGCCGCCAAGAATTGGACGGCTGCGCGAGAGCCCCTCCCCTGCACTGATCAGTGGGATGCGACGGCGGCCTTGGTTCGTGCCCGCGCAAGGGCCATCATCAAGAGCATTGGCCCTGAGAAGGTCCCTCGTGGGGAGAGAGTTGGTGTCACTCGTCAGGCCCCGCTGTCCACTCGAGCCCTCTGTCTGAGAGCCTCCACTCACACGTTCGAGCGTTGTGCTGCTAAGTGGCGCTGTGCCAAGTGCGAGCTACTCGTTGATGACTGCCGTCTCGACGAGTCGGCGCTCACGCTGTGCCCTGGCCCGCCCCCCACTCCGCGCCCATTGGCCGAGGAGGGCCCACGTCGTTTCGGGGAGGCGGTGGTTGTGGAGGCTCGGGGGAGGACTCTAAGAGGCCAAGAGGCCCACCCGTCACACCAGCTTCTGGAGCTCCCGCGTTGGCGGGTCTTGTTCTGCTCTCATTGTGGGGCCAATGCTACGTTTCGTTTTGTCAACCTTTTGGAGGTGTGTGGCGAGCCGAGTCCCAAAGGGAAGGAGGTCCTTGCTCGCATTGCCAGGGGCCTGCATCCTTCCCACACGGGCCCCTCGAAGGCCATCGCTGAGGCGGCGCACCGAGACGCCGCCCAAGAGGCTCGGGCTCGTGCACTAGTAAGAGGCAGTGTCTTGCCCCAGGCCCCTGGACCCCCACCCGAGGGAGATGGAGGGGCCTCGGAGGATGTTTCTGCAGTGGACGCCTCGGAGGAGGCTGTGGTCCAGGTGGTGAGAGGGGAGGAGTCGGTCGGCGATTTTGAGGCTGGGGCGGCCGTGAGCAAGGGTGCGCCGAGCGCCTCGGCGGCTTCATCAGCCAGGCCCGCGCCGCCGCCCTCCCCCTCCACCTCCTCCTCCGATTAGGCGTGTGGCCCCCCCCCCCCGCGCGACCCCTCGGTCGCTTTGCATTTAGCCCATTTAGTCCTCCTCCTCCTCTTCCTTCTCCTTCTTCTCCTCCTTCTCTCCCCCTTCCCCTGACGATTCCTGGCATCCCCGGGGCCAGAAAACGGCCTCCCACAACTAGGAGTTATGGCACATTCGGGTTTATCCGGGGGTCAAAGAAAGGGGTTGTCTGTAGGAGCGGCCCCAGAGGGGGCAGGTAGGGCGATAAAAAACGGAAACCTGCTGCCGTTTTGGTGTGGGGGTTTGGGGGGGTCCAGTTGTCGTTTTGGATAATGTTTTGAACTTCAGAACTCGATGTTCTAGAAGAAAGTCATGCTGGGCCCGCGGTGCAACGAAAATCATGTTCGGACATTCCCCTCACCAAGAGCACGTTGACTCGAAAATGAGCGAACCAAGAGCCACGTCGACGAGCGACTAATACGGCCCTCCTGACGCCTGCGGGTTTTCCCTACAAACTTGACGCTCCAGACATTCCCAAATGGTAAACTTCGGAAGATCGAAAATGCACAAGCAGTCAACAACCCCTCAAAGCCAAATCCTGAAATCCTCGGAAGTTCCAAACGGACCAGCATTCCTACCCGCGTCCAGCCGTAGCGACGAGTAAGTTCACGAGAAAGGGATCCCCTTTCAAAGATGAGAGCCCTGGTCTCGCGATCTCGAGCCTCTTGGATCACGATCGAGGTTCGATCCTGGAGGATCGAGGAGCGATGCTTTCTCGCCTTCGGAGGCCTTCCTCATCGCCACGGCACGACGCAGCTCAAACAATTGATGCCTTCGATACCAGGTGGATTCCGGGAACTGTACTGGGCGGAATTAGACCGAAGTTTTCTTCCTTCCTCCTCCTCTTCCTCCTCCTCCTCCTCCTCCTCCTCCTCCTCCCCCTCCTCCGCCGCCTCCTCCTCCTGGTCCTCCTCTTCTTCCTCCTCCTCCTCCTCATCATCATCATCATCATCATCCTCATCTTCCCCCTTTACCTCTCGCCCGCGCTCCCCTCGCCCTTCCCCTTCTCCTCCTCCCCCGTCTCCTCCACCCCCTGGCGACCAGACATGCCTTCGGAGGCCTTTCTCATCGTCACGGCTAGACGCAGCTCAAACAATTGATGCGATCGACCCTGGGAAATTTCCAGAAACTATGTTGAGGGGAGTGTGACCGAAGCTCTCCTCCCTCCTCGTGTTCCTCCTCTTCCTGCTCCTCCTCCTCCTCCTCCTCCAATTCCTCCTCGTTTTCCCCTTCTCCACCTCCTCCTCGCGCCTCCTCCTCCTCCTCCTCCTCCTCCTCCTCCCTCCTGCTCCTGCTCCGCCTCCTCCCTCTCTCCTCATTCTCCTCCTCGTCATCCTCCTCTCCTCCTCGTCCTATTCAGCCTCTTCTTCCCCCTCTCCACCTCCTCTTTCTTCCTCCTCCTCCTCCTCCTCCTCCTCCTCCTCCTCCTCCTCCTCCTCCTCCTCCTCCTCCTCCTCCTCCTCCTCCCCTCCCCCCCCCTCCCTCTTCCGCCTCCCTCCCGCGCCCCGCTCATCTCCCCCTTCTCCTCTTCCTCCGTCACCTCCGTCTCCGCCACCCCCTTGCGACCACACATCCTCACGAAGTACTTCAAGAGCAAAGTATGGAGGCGAACGGAAACGTGAGACACCCCTTTGCCGCACCCTTGGGAGTGTTGAAGCCAGCGCCTCGCCTGAGACATCCTCGAAATCGGTTCCGAAAGCGAAAGGTGTTGGGCAACCAAACTGGCTAACCGCCTGAGATATCCCCACAATCTGGGCGCGAACGGGCCCGTGCAGCACCCCCCTGCCGCCCCCTTTGGGAGTGCTGAAACCAGCGCCTCGCCTGAGATATCCTTCAAATCTGCTCCGAAAGAGATGTATGCTGGGAAACCAAGCAGGCAAACCGCCTGAGGCACCCCCACAATCTGGACCGAGCGGGCCTGAGCAACACCCCCTGTCCGCCCCCCCCCCACCGGGAGTGTTGAAACCAATGGGGAGGGGTGAGTCTGAGTGATGAGCGAGCCTGAGCGATGAGTGAGTCTGAGTGATGAGTGAGTCTGAATGAGGAGTGAGTCTGAGTGAGGAGTGAGTGAGTTTGACTGACGATTGAGTCTTAGTGCGAACGTGTCTGGGTATGAGTGAATCTGAGTGGTGAACGAGCCTCAGTGACGACAGAACCTGAGTGAGGTTGAATGGGGAGGAGGAGTAGCTAGGAGGGAGGAGGAGGTCCTCGGCGCAGTCTGAGCAACAACAAGCACCCCATCTTAGGAGATGGGGAAACCGCCAGAGGGGGGAGGAGGAGGAGGAGGAGGAGGAGGAGGAGGAGGAGGAGGAGGAGGAGGAGGAGAGAAGGAGGAGGAGGAGGAGGAGGAGGAGGAGGAGGAGGAGGAAGAGGAGGACCAGTGCGAACCCACGATGCATCAACGATGCTGCAGTAAACATTCTCTCAGGTACACTCTTCATAGGTACATACCAACATTGGTTATGCGGGAAGCGCGTCCTTGAAACACAAACTGTTGATAATCCTCTATCTTTCCAGCACATCAGTCCTGGGACTTCAGCGCCGCAAGTCAACGCGAGTTTTGCTTGCGCCCTGATAGCCCTTATTAGCGCCAGAACGCCGTTCCTGGGATTTCACCATCGCGAATCAACGCGATTGATGCGTTTCGACACTCCAGACCTAATTCGTGCCAGAAGAACCCTTCTCTTATGGAGATTTCAACCATGCGAATCCATGAAACTGCTGCAGACTTTCAAGGCGAATGTGCGCGGCGATAGGGCGACAACTACCTGTTGAAATGGCATCGCCCTCCATCCGTGAAATTCATGCGAACTGATCCGACGAATCTGAGCTGCGTTAACGTGAGAGCTACATGTTGAAAACGGCCAGCTCTTCAGATTTGAAGCCCATGCAAACTGTCAAGACGAATGTGCGCGGCGCTCCGGCGAGAACCACATATTGAAAAGGAACCGCCCTCAATCCGTGAAGCTCTTGCAAACTTCAAGCTCTGGTGAAGTTTCAAGACGACTGCGTGCCGCACTGAGCCTAAAGCCACATCTTGAAAAAGAAGCCGTCCACCATCCGTGAAGCTCTTGCGAATTTTCAAGACTAATGCGCGCGGCGCTAAGGCGAGAACCACATTCTGAAAACGGCCCGCCCGCAATCCGTGAGACCGTTGCAAACTTTTCAGACGAATGTGCAGGAGCAGGAGCAGGAGCAAGGACGGCAAGAGGATGAGGAGGAGGAGGAGGAGGAGGAGGGGGAGGGAGAGGAAGGAACAGGACGAATGGAGGAGGGGAGGAGGAAGAGGAGCAGGAGGAAGAGGAGGAGGAGGATGCGCAGCCTCGGCCCCCTGGCGCACGCCGCTTGCGCGCGCCGCCAGCTGCCCGAGAGGGGCAGCGCTGTCGGCGCGGGCGGGCGGAGGGCGGGGCGCAAGCCTGCAGGACGTGCAGCTGCGCACCGCCAGCCACGAGCTGCTGGGCCAGCTGTGCGCGCTGGCGGACCCGGCCGAGGAGGGGATCTTCTTCCTCCTCCTCCTCCACCTCCTCCTCCTCTCCTCCTCCTCTCCTCCTCCTCCTCCTCCTCCTCCTCCTCTCTCCTCCTCCTCCTCCTCCTCCTCCTCCTCCTCCTCCCTCTCCCCCCGAGTCCCACCTCGTCCTCCTCCTCCTCCTCCTCCTCCTCCTCCTCCTCCTCCTCCTCCTCCTCTCCTCCTCCATCATCATCATCATCATCATCAGCATCATCATCATCATCATCATCATCATCATCATCATCATCATCATCATCATCATCATCATCATCATCATCAGCAGCATCAACAGGGAGCTCAACGAGCGGAGAAACAATCTAGTCATCTCACTGGGGAAGCAGGCGGAGATCCCCAAGATAGGCTTCGAAGCGGCAGGAAATTGCATCGATGGGGGAGGGGCAAGGAGCGCGCGGGCCACGCGGGCCCACAGCTTCGACGGAGATCTCTTCGGACGAGGGTGAATGAGAAAGGGGCTCCTGCAAGCTACCAGGCGCGCAACGCCGCAATGTCGGGCCCCGCGGGGCTTGCGCCAGGCAGCGCGGGGTAGCCGCGGCGCTCCGAGAATCAGCTTGCCGAAGGAGGTTGGCAGGGAATACCTCGAGGGACTCCACATACAGAAACCCAAAGGACCGACCGCTCGGGGCCCCGCAAGAATATCCGGAGACCCACCGGGCCAGTGCAAGTTTGTTCAAGGCCCAGGCCAGCGTGCAATCACGCCGACGCAGCGCGCTGGAACGAGCAACCACAATCCGGTAACGATTGTCGGAGGAACCAGGATGGATCGAAATTTGGAGGAGGACGTCAGTTGTTTGAGTTCCGTTTTCGGTGGCATCGCGGCGATCGACAATATGATTTGGCTCACGGTAGACAACCAGAGACAGAAAGCGCACATGTAGAAAAACGGCCTCGGAGCCTTTCGCGACACGCCGTCTCGCGTCATCTCCAGGGCTTGACGCAGGCTGACGCGCAGTCTGATGGGGAGCCTCACAGGCTACGTCGAGATCCACCAGAACATATACCACGACTCTCAACTACACCAACCCGAAACATAAGATGACCACGATGGGGCTGCGGGAGATGGGCCACCGCGCGTCGGACGAGGAGGATGTGGAAAAGGGCGGGAAGGGCGCCGTACGGGCCAGGGCACGAAGCGCAATAAATCCGAGTAAGAGAGGTGCGGCAGACAGAGCACGACTGCGACCAACGTTGCGCGTCGGCACAGGAGGTAGACGGGGCCGCGACGGGGCAAGGGACTGATGCGGGATGAGAAGAGGAACTCGAAAGTAAAAGACCCGACGGAGCAATCCAAACAACAGGAACTCAAGGGGCAGGGTGGTTATTTGGTTCAACGACGAGAGTTCGTCGGGCAGAAGAAGTCGCAGCTGGATGAGATCACCGAAGAGAAGCCGGCGCCGCGGCGGAACACCGACTAGACGGAGCAGGGCGCCAAGATCCCAATGCCAGCACTCACGTGGACTAGCTACAGCGAAAGCCGCAAGAGACATCAAGTACGTGCTCGACAAAAGCCGGCGAGAAAGACCATCCTGCCTTGCAAGAAGAGATTGGAGCAGGCGCAGGGAAGCCCCATGGGACAGATCGGCTTGGCAAGGCACTAACACCAGCAGCTGTTTCTCAGCTTGGCCAAGACGGAGACGAAGTTGGGGGAGACGCACAACAGTGGGGGCGATAAGACCAAGGCAGAAAGCACCCTGATGCTCATGGACCAGCTCAAAACGACAGAGGAGACGATAGCGGAGTTGTCCAAGTTCAAGGGGCTGCCCCACGACAGAGCGGGAGAGCACAAGGGGGAAGAATTTGCCGAACGAGAAGAATTACCTCACCAAGCAGAGCGACGAGACCGCACAGGACCTCCGGTCGTTCGAGGAGAAGCCGAAGTGGAGGGTTGACGAGCCTCCGACGCGGGCGCGTTACGGGTGGAAGCTGGAGGACGCGTGCAAGTGAATCGACTCCGGCATGCAGCTGGCGACGCAGCAAAAATCAGAACGGGAGCTCACCCCGGAAGCCGACCAGCGCCCGCAAACTTGAGCGGGAAGGTGATGGTCCAACCGCGCGGGTGCATTACGGATGGGCTGAGCTTGGCGAGACGAAGCTGGTCGGCCTGGGAATCTCCGCGGCAGCGGCAGGGGGGGCGAGAGAGGAACCGCGCCAACGAGATTGGAGGGCGTCTTCCCGCCGGAGGACAGGAGTGCGAGGAATGCGCTTTCAGAACGGATGGAGGGGGTGGACGGAGCACTCCCAATTAGGAGGGGGTGTGGCGCGAAGGCAATGTGCTCGGCGTGCAATGCCTTGATGTCGTGCCCCAGGGGGCACGCGCCTTGCCCGGGGCCAGACGGGCATGATACGATAAGCGAGGCAAAAGTGAGCCGATTGCAACGACTACTGCGGAAACGTAATAGGGCCTTGAAATGGGAATCAGCCGGGACGAACTGAGATCGGGCACGACTGCGAAGACGATGGGAAGTTGCTGGGGGCACCAGGAACTACCCATCTCAGAATGTCGTGGGAATGCGGGGAACCGCGAACGATTGAAAATTGAGGGCTGGGCAATACGGACGGAATGCGACGACTCCCGAGGGCCTCCAGGGATCACCCGCCGACATTCAGAACCAGAAACGAGCCAATCCAATGCCAAGTTAGATTGGTCAGCAGAGTTTCCCCGCGCCTTGAGGTAGTCCCTGGAGCGAGGATTTCTCTGGTTCCCTCCCGGGCCCCTCGTTTCTCCCTCTCCCCGCCTCGTCCCTGTGCGTCCTGCGTTGCCCTGCTCATCCGCCCTGTCGCGTCCGTTAGCCGTCGGTCCCCCTCCCCTTCTCTTCCTCCCGCGCTCCGTTAGCCCTGCTGGGTCTCTCCCTCTTCTCCCTCTCTCCCTCGTCCTCCCGGTCCCCCCCCCCTTTCTGCAACTCTGGCTGCCGGCCTTTCTATAATTGGCCTGGACGGGGCAAGATAGGCACAGCGCGCGCCGCCCCCCGCCGCCCACGCCGCCGCCCCCGCCCGCCCACAAGTGCTTGAATTTCAAGGCAGGACGCGTCTTTTACCCTCTCTCCGATCGTCGTCGGGAGCGGTCGCGTCGTCGGTCCTTTTCCTCTTGCTCGGGAGGCCCCCCCCGTCCACAGAGGAGGCCAGGGGGCTTCCCCCGTTCGAACTGCGATCCGCAAGGCTCGAGAAGAGCCCCGTGCAGCGGGCCCGTCCCCAGCGTTGTCCTTTCACGGAGGCCCCAGAGGGGGGCGCCCCAGGCGGGCCTCTGCGAGGGCAGGGTCCGCGTCCACCTCTTCGCAGGGGCATTGGACAGCCGCACGGTGTATGGCATAAGGGCCACCATTTGGATTCGCCTCCAACGCGCTTCACTTTGGCCTCCTCTCCCTCCTCCACTCCCTCCTCCACTCCCTCCCCCTCCCCCGCCCCTCTCTGACACCCTTGCGATGTGGGAAAATGAATCACGAGGGCAGCTCGTTTTGCAAATGTTCTGCCTTCGGGGGCCCTTGCTGGGCGTTGGAGCGGTGGGCACACGGCCCATGATGAAAACCCGCCCGACTGAATGGACCCAGGCCTCTGGAGCCACGTCGTGGAAAAAGTGGCATCGTATGTTTGCCTCCTCCTGTCTCTCGGTCTTCGCGCTTCGCGAAGCGCTGCGAGGCGGGTGCGCGGTCGGGGACTGTGGCTTGTCGCGTCGCGCCGCCCGTTCTGGCCCGCCACGCCGCGGCGCGACACGCTAGCCACATCCGGGTCCGAAGGCATCAACGCCCCGAGCTTCTCGCAGACTCCCGCGGAGTGGAGCGACACGCTAACCTCCCCCGCAGGGCATAGCGCGTCAGCGGGGCCGTCGCCGCGACACGCTAAACAAAAATGCCCGATCGTAGGGGCCATGGCGTTCGGTCGCCCGGTTGGCGGACGTGGTGAAACTTGCGCCGGCGCGGGGCCACATCGGGGCTTCGCTCTTCGATGCAGGACTGAATGCAGCAAGAGTTCGACACCTAGTAGTTCACACGCTCCTCTCGCCTTTTTGGTTCCACCTTTTCGAGCGGCGGTGGGCGGTGGAAACCGCCGTTCTTCAGACAAGATCCTCCTCCTCCTCCTCCTCTTCCACCATCGTCATCCCTCCTTCATGTTGTTCCCTACTGGTTTTCCTCCCCTCCCTCCGCATCCTGGTTTTGCTTCCTCTCCCTCCTGCCCTCCTGCTCGTCCCGCATCCCACGCCACCATCCCTCCTTCCAGGGTTGGTGGAGGCACCCCCTGGCGCGGCCCCCCCCCCAGGGGTCCTGAACGAGGAGGGGGGATCCGAGCACGATAGCAGCAAGGGGGCCCGTCCCAGCACCACCCCCTCCTCCTCGGCCCCCCTCCTGCTCCTGGCGACGCCCCTCCTCATCTGCGTCTCTCACTCGGCACGGGTGGTTACGCGCGTGGCACGTGCGTGGGGGGGGGGTGGCGAGCGCGCGCACCCCCAGCCCACAGGTGTCTTCCAGTGAGAGGCAGGGGGGCGAGGCTTTGTCAGCACGGCCCCAGGCCGCGGGCCGCGACGGGCGTGGCCCCGCGGCGGGGCCAGGGAGCACGGGATGATCCCCCCCGGAGTCCCCAGTCATGGTTTTTGGTCGGCGGGTCGAGAGCGGGCCTCTTCCGGTTAAGAGCTAGGCGGGGCGCGCGAAGCAGTAATCGGGGAGACAGGGCGCGGGCGGGCGGGGCCTCAGGCGGCCGGAGGGTGCGGAGTACGGGCGGTACCGAAGAGCCTGCACAGGAAAAGGTACGCCTTGGACAGGAGCCGGGGGCGGAGTCCCGGAGGGAGAGTGAGTTGGTGTTGCCGTCAACGGCGCGCCATGCACACCATCCTCGAGTGCTGCAAGTGAGTCCCCAGGCATGGGATGTGTTGATTGCTTCCCATCCACACGCGCTCCCCAGACGTCTCGACCCTCTCCCGGTGGGGCCGGGTCTTCGGCCCGCATCGTGCTCTGACTGTCCTCTGGCCCGGCGAGGGCCCTCGGAGGCATCAGAACAGCGTGGCGAAAACCCCAACAAAGGTGCAGCTGCGAGTCTCGCGAGGTAGGTGGGACGACGGAGGGGGGCCGCGAAAAGCGTGAGAGGTCTATTGAAATTTACGGCGCGGACGTATGCGAACGTTGCCACTGGGGCCTGAGGTGGAGCTCCCTATGGGGTCACGAAGCGTGTGAGGGGTGCGCCGAAACGTGCGGCGCGGACGCATGCGAACGCAGCCACTCGGGCCTTAGGTGGAGCTCCCTCTTGGGACTACGAAGCGTGTGAGGGGTGTGCCGAAACAGAGACAAGCGGGAGGAGGAAGGAGGGGGGTCAGCGGGAGGGAAGGAAACGCAGGCCGCTGTCTTTCAAAACGAGGACCCACCACGACAGGACGGTTGGGAAAGCATCCCACAACAAATCCGTCGTGATTGTTGTGCGACGCGAGGATGTTTGGACCCATCACTCTTGGCAGCGGGGGGGAAATCAGAAGAAGAAGAAGAACAAGACAAAGTATTCAGCTGCCTACGGCAAGTCCCGCCACCGTGCCTGGGTTGTGGGCTATAAGCTTATTTGATGATCGTTGGGATCTCGTGGGAGGTCTCTCGGGGGCCTCCTGGAGGCAGTTTTGAAGCCTCATGGAGGCCGTTTTGACATCTCTTGAGGCCTCTCGTGGGTCTTTTGGAGCCTGTTGGAGGCCTCTTCGGGCCTATTGGGCGCCTCTGGGGCCTCCTGGGGGGCTCTTGGGGCGGAAGGCTCGGATTTTCAATGCGTTTTTCTTCTCTGGAGCCCCTTTGGGGCCGTCTTGGGGCCCTCTGGGGCCGTCTTGGGCGCCTCTTGGGCCGTCTTGGGCCGTTTTGGGGCCCTCTTGGAGGCCTCGTTGGGTGTTTTGGGGTGGTCTTGGGGGCCGCTTGGGCCGTCTCGGAGCGTCGGATAGCCGACAAGGCGAGAACGCCCAAACCCTTCAAGAACCTACAGAAAAACATTGATTGTGCATTTTGGGGCCCTCTTGGGAGGCCTCTTGGAGACCTCTTGGGGCGTCTTGGAGGCCTCTTGGGCCATCTTGGGGCCATCCTATGTATCTTCGAGCGATCGGTAAGCGACTCGGGGCCCTCTTGGACCGTCTTGGGGGCCTCGTGGCCGCCACGGAAGCCTTGGAGAGCCCCAGGGAGGCGCCATGGCCGCCCAGGGACCCACCCGGGAGTTGGGGTGGTGCAGGTGGTTGGGTGCTTCCCATGGGGGGGGGGGGTCCCTTTAGAAGACCACGGAAACCTTGCCAGGCATTCTTTGGCGTTCTTCCACGCCCCAACGCGCCGCAGGCACGGTGGCGGACTAAGATCAGAGAGGCGCACCGCGAAAAGCTTCTGGCGGCGGGGAGGCCCTCGAGGACTCGGTCGAGGAGCGGGAGGCCAGCCGGGAGCTGTCCCGGACGCTGGAGCTGCTGCTGGTGCACTGCACCGTGCGGCTGGAGGACGAGGGGGGGGCCTCTATGCCCTCGCTGCGGCCACGGGTCCAGTGGGAATGCTCCCACATCACACCCCCTTCCCTCGGAGCAGCGGAGGGGCAAGAAGGAGGGAGAGAGAGGAGCAGGAGGAGAGGGGGAGGGACAAGCTAGGTGCGCTCGCGTCATATCTGACATCCTACCCCTCCCTCCCATCCCTTACCATGGCGTAGATCCCCTCTCTACTCGCACAGTCGGATGTCGAGCAGGGCAATGATCCCGAAAGGGTACGCGATGCATTGTAGAGCACGGCATGGCATGGCGTAGAAGAGCACCGCAAAGCGTAGTATCAACCTAGCATTGCATTGCATGCCGTGGCATGGCACGGGAAATGACGCCAGCGCTGCAGCGGGAGCACGAGTCGGAACGAGCGGAAGCGCGGAAATGAGGCCAGCGCTGCAGCGGGAGCACGATTCGGAACGAGCGGAAGCACGGAAATGAGGCCAGCGCTTCAGCGGGAGCACGATTCGGAACGAGCGGGGCCCGAAAATGAGGCCGGCGCCTCAGCGAGAGCAGCATTTTGGAAAAAAATGCAGGCGAAAACCCAACTCCGGGGAATCCTGTGTGTTAAAAAACAGTGCGCGGAGGGGGGCTAACACTTTCAAGCCGTCATCAGGGGAAGAGGGAGAGTAGTATTCATATTGAGTAATTGTAGAGGGAAGGAGGGAAGAGGGAGGGAGGGAGGGAGGGAGGGAGCGAGGAACTGAGTGGGGGAGGGATGGAGAAAGGGCAGGGGAGGAGGAAGAGGGCAGAGAAGCGGTAGGTACATGTTGAGGGGTCTGGTTGACGTGGAGTTTACATTGCGCTCTTCGACTTTCCCCTCGCCCCGGGTGAGGAAGAGGCTTGAGAGAGGAAAGCGATCCCCCACCTCACCCCGACCCCGCTGACCCGCCCATCCAACCCGTTAGAAACGAACTTAGGTCTCCCTCCGCTTTCATTATCCCTCCTCGTTCCCCTCCTACGGGATTTCACTTGTTGGCCTTGCTTGTGTTTTCTGTTCGATCGGGACGCTCTGGGTCCTTCAGAAATGGCGTTTCCGCCCCAGCGTTGGCCACATTTCAGGATCGGCGCTTGCCCGCGTCGTTCAGACTGACGCTCTGGCCCCATCGCGGGCTACATTTCTGGATCCGATTCTTTCCCCGGCGTTGCTGGTAATCCTTTTTCCCCTTTTCCGCCCTGGTCGTCCTGCTCCTCCCGATCCTCCAACTCCTGCTGTTGCTCCTCCTCGTCATCGTCCTGCGCTCTCCTCCTCTATTTCTATTTCCCATGGCGGAGGAGGTCAGTGACTCATCTCAGCCCACAAGACCAGCCCCTCCCGCTGGGTGGCACTCCAGGGGGCGCCAGCCACTTGCGCCACCAGCGGGAGGGCATGCCCCTCAAACCTCCCACCTCACTTCCCTGACCTCCCTGCGGAGGCGGGCGGCCTCGTCCGCCAGCGGCGCGGGCGCGCGGCCGAGGCAGGCAGCGCCCGCGCGCTCACTCCGCCGCTCCCCCCACAGGGACGGCGACCACGTCCCCACCCTCCTGCCGCCCAGGGTCTGGAGGTCGGCAAAAGACGTGGCGGCCAGGATGGCCACAACCGCTGGGATGGCTGACCTCGTTGGGCCTATCTGCCACCCTTGATATACTGCTGGCCCCAGGATGGGCGACTGCCTTTCCTGACGCGGCCAAGCTGCTGCTTCAGTGCAGAGGCGGGCGGGGTGCAGGAGCGGCTTAAGGATTTGGCCGCCCCCCAACTGTAACCCCCGGACCCCAGACACACAAAGGCGGCCCCCCCGCCAGCCCTGTGTTTGACAAGGTGCCCGTCCCAGCGCCGACGTCCCTCATCGATGCTGCTCGTCGTGCCATGGACGCCGAGGCGCTGGCGGCTGCCCAAGCTGACCTGCCCAGGAAGGTCAAGCGCCAGGCCGTGGCGATGCGCACCCTTCGCGACGGCCTCTACGCTGAATGCCTCGACCAGCTGATCGGCCGCCGTCTGCGGCGCTGGGGCCTGGAGGTGCCCGCCGAGGAGCTCCGCGAGCGCTGGCTGGAGCTCCGCGCCGAGCTGCGCGTGGCTCGCCGTGCCTGGCTCTGGTCTTGGCTGCGCACCGTCGTCAACGGCTGGGTCACGTCGGGCAGGATGCACGTCATCGCCCCCCGCTCCTGCCTCCTGGGCTGCGACGCGCGGGACGACCTCGCCCACTACATGGTCTGCCCGGTGCTCCGCAGCGCCGTCGCCGCCCCCGCTGAGCCGAGTGAGCTGGGTTGCGGCACTATTTTCCTCGGGCTCGGCCACCAGCTCGAGCACCGCGTGCGCCCGCGCATGGCCTGCGTCCGTGCCGTGGTGTTGGCCACGCAGCTTTTCCATATCCTGAAATGGCGGGCTGATTGCAGCCTGCCCATCCACGACACTGCTGTCGCCGCCGCCCGCGTAGCAGCCTTGCATCGTTTACAGGCCTAGTCGAGCTCCGCACCTGTTGCGCCGAGTTTCGTGCCCTCCTCCTCCTCCTCCTCCTCCTCCTCCTCCTCCTCCTCCTCCTCCTCCTCCTCCTCCTGACGACACAGTGGCGAGGGCTGAGGGGAAGCTGGAGCACGTTCGGTCTACCATCCTCGGCGTAGCGGAGTCCTTCAAGGCTGGCCTTGACGAGCAGCACCTGCAGGTCTCTGGCAAGACTGTGGTCATCGCTAGCCACCTGCAGCTGGCTAAGGACATCCACCGTGCGCTGGTGCGCAGGGGCGTCCCCTGTACGGCCACCAACCACGCAGTGGACCTCGGCGTGGACACTACTGCGGGGCGTGTGCGCACGCAGCGCAGGGCGCTCACCAGGAGGAAGGCGGGGCATTGCCAGTTCCGCCGCATCTTCAGGATGAGGCGCCATGTCCAGCTCTCCAGGGTGACCAAGGCGTTGTGGTCTACTGCGGCGCTGCCGAGGTCGACGTACGGCCACCAGGCCTTCGGCCTGGCGCCCTCGGCCATCCTCAGGCTGAGGAGGTGTGCTGCGCTGTCGGCAGCGGGCAGAGGGCCTGGGAGATGCCTCACGAGCATCCTTGCCACCCTTCACGGCGACAAGGAGCCTGGCCTGGAGCTCAGGCGCCAGCTCTTGGGCGAGTGGCTCGACCTCTGGAGGCGGGCCCCGCAGCTCCGCAGTCGCATCGAGTGTGCGTGGCCCAGTGTCCTGGCCAAGCTGATGAAGGGCAGGCCCCAGGCGGAGGTGGCGAGCTGTGAGCGGCCCCGTGGCTGCGCTCATGGCTATGTTGCTGGACGCGGGCTGGCTCCCTACTTCGGCGCGCTCGTGGACGACGGCCAGTGGTGTGGAATGGCGCCTTCCTGGCCCCGAGGATCTGGACATGGACACGTCTGCAGTGCTGGACGAGTTCGTGGAGGACCTCAAGCGGGCGATGTGGAGCGGGGCCAGCAAGCACTTGCATGGAGACGACCTGTGCGAGGGCGCCGATGCAACCCTCATCGCCCGCGAGCAGCAGCACTACCTGTCCAAGGGCCAGATGGACATGCATGCTCAGGACATCGCGGTCACTTCAGGTGGCCAACGGCCGCGGCTCAGGCAGAGGGAGGCGGGCTACGCGCTGGAGTCTGTCACATGCCCCCGCTGCGGCCACGAGGACGAGACCTTGTTCCACCGCATCTGGCCGTGCTCTGCGAATCGGGGGGGCAAGGAGTACGACTTCACCAACCACCTGGTGGCGCAGGCCAGTGTCCAGCACGAGAGCCAGCCGTCGTTCTGGCTTCGCGGTCCCCCAGCGCTGCACCTCACGACGCCGCTGTACGACGAAGACCTGGCGGAGTGGTCTTTCGAGGTTGGAGACTTCCGAGGAGCTCGTGGAGCTGATGGAGTGATTCACCTGTTTGGAGACGGCAGCGGGGGAGCCCACTCTTCGGACCCCCGCCGCCGCCGCTGCGGAGCCGCCTTTTGCTCCGTTTCCTTTGATGAGGAGGCGGCCGCCTGGCGCCTCGAGGGAGGCGTATTGGGGGGGCTGCCAGCGCGCCAGACTGTCCCGCGCGCTGAACTCTTGGCCGTTGCCCTGGCCGTGGAGGCGACAGAAGGCCCCTTCATCTTTTACAATGACAATCGGGCCTTGTATCTTGGGTGGCTCGCGGGGAGGCAGACCTCCTCTCTTGGGACGAATGGGGACCTCTGGGCTCGCGTGAAGCGGGGCATTGCCTCCAGAGGGCCCCAGCGAGCTGTTGAGATCTCCATTGTGTGGATCCTGTCTCACTTGGAAGAGCAGGTCCACCTGCTAGTCTCGCCTAGTGTGGTCGTCCGTGCTGCTGGGAACGCCTGTGCCGATGCTCTGGCGGGTCTCGCTGCCCAGGAGGCCCTCCCTCGGGGCCTCATTGGCGTTGCCCCGCACACGGATGCATGGGATGCTATCGCTGCGCAGGTTAGGACTCGTGCTAGGAGGGCCCTGATTGACACACTTGAAGTTGACGCTTGGGAGACTAAGAGACCTCCGAAGATTCGAACCGCTCCTCAGCCAAAGCTCACCCGAGCCTTGGCGGCCAGCCAGCACGCTTGGACATCCGTCCAAGGCGGTTGCTGGCTGTGCTCGGCTTGCCGTCTTCTGGTTCTTGGGTCCAGGGTCGAGGAAGCGGCCGAGTCTGTGCACCTCTGCCCCTGCGCCCAGAGTTGGCGGCGGAGTGGGGCTCCCGAGCGGTATTGTGAAGAGTAATTCGTACGTGATCCTTGGGAACCAAGAGGTCCACCAGTCACATGAGCTGTACTTGTAGCAGGAGCACATGCTGTATGTTTGCCATGTGTGCGGCTCGACGGCCACCACCAGGCTTGCTGGGCTGGTCGAGTTGTGCCACAGACCAAGAGGGGGCGTCAGAATCTCTCACGAATCACGCAGGGCAAGCTCCCGAGCTACGCGGGCTTGCCTAAGGGGGCCAAGGATGCCTCCCTGATTTTGCAGTCAGGAGTTGGAGCGGCTCCTCTCGAGGGCTCCAACGAGGGACCTCCAGAGTGCTCTGCTGCTAAGGACTCCATTGAGGGACCTCCTGAGAGCCCGCAGGGTGGTTGGTGGGACACTGCGTCCCCTTTGTATCTCATATCTCATATCCTCCTCCTCCTCCTCCTCCTCCTCCTCCTCCTCCTCCTCTCCTCCTCCTCTCTCCTCTCCACCTCCTCCTCCTCCTGCTCCTCCTCCTCCTCATCCTCCTCCTCCTCCTCCTCCTCCTCCTCCTCCTCCTTTTCCTCCTCGTTATCCTCCTCCTCCTCCTCCTCCTCCTCCTCCTCCTCCTCCTCCTCCTCCTCCTCCTCATCCTCATCCTCATCCTCATCCTCATCTCATCCTCATCCTCATCCTCTTCCTCCTCCTCGTCATCATCAGCATCATCATCATCATCATCATCATCATCATCATCATCATCATCATCATCATCATCATCATCATCATCATCATCATCATCATCATCATCATCATCATCATCATCATCATCATCATTATCATCATAATCGTCAGCGCCATCATCCTCATCCTTCTTCTCCTCCTCCTCCTCCTCCTCCTCCTCCTCCTTCTCCTCCTCCTCCTCTTCCTCCTCCTCTTCTTCCTCTCCTCCTCCTCCTCCTCCTCCTCCTCACTCCTCACTCCTCACTCCTCACTCCTCATTCATCCTCCTACTCTCTCCTCCTCCTCATCTCTCCTCTTTTTTCGTCCTCCTCCTCCTCCTTCTCGTCCTCCTCCTCCTGGTCCTACTCCTCCTCCTTCTCCTCCTCCCTCCTTTCCTCCACCGTCTCCCCTTTCTCGCTACTGACCATCCTCGCTCCTCTGACTTGAGGGGGGGAGGTCCAGGCTGGCGATCGCGAAGCAGGAGGGGCTCCCCTCAGGACGCCAGCCCCGCGGTAGCCTCGGCGGCGTGCCGCTGCTGGCCGCCCAGCTGCCCCTGGAGGGAGTCAGGAGCCTGGGCCTCCCACATGAGTTCCGAGTAAATGGGGTCGGCGATGTATTGCCGACGTCGCCGATGCATCGCCGATACATCGCCGATGCGGCGCGATCCTCCGACCCCATCTGCTCGGACCCTGTCTAGGAGGCCTCTAGAGAGCGGGCCTCGCGGATCGGGGCCCACGCTGGCGCAGGCAGTGCCCAACCCAGGCGTGCTCTCGCGCCGTGGACGGACAGGTGCCGCAGTTGCTCGTCGTGCTCGAGGTCCGAGGTTTGAGGACGTTTTCGTTGGTTGTTGGCGCGGTCTTCCAGCCTCGAGCTCGAGGAGTGAGCATCGAGGTTCGAGGCTCGAGGCTCGAGGCTCGAGGGTCGAGGACGCTTTCGCTGGTTCTCGGCGGTCTTCCAACCTCGAGATGCGCTCCAGCAGCTGCACCTTGCGGAGGTCGGTCAGGGGATGCTCGGATCGTCCTGATCGGCCACCGGAGGCTTGAGCTATGGCCCGAAAACCACCTGACATGCTCGCGCCGAGGACAAAGTCACGATGGACAGTTTTTGGCCAGCCTCCCAGAGCCCTCGCTGGGCCCCAGGACCGCCAAACAACGACTCGGGATGGAAAGCCGGCCGTGGGGAAAGTGTCGGGGCTTCCGCGGGCCGCGCACCGGAAGCAAATCAAGACATCGCATGTCTTTGGGGGGGGTCACCGCCGAGGGGATCACAACTTGCGCTTGGAAATCGGGGACCGAGGAGGAGGAGGAGGAGCAGGAGGAGGAGGAGAAGCAGGAGCAGGAGGAGAAGCAGGAGCAGGAGCAGCAGGAGGAGCAGGAGCAGGAGCAGCAGGAGGAGGAACGACCGAGGATCGAGAAGTTTTGGACGCTTTTGGGCGACCTAGAGGCTCCCAGGGGATTCTTGGGGGGAGTCCGGGGGGGGGGCACGTTCTTCCCGGAGGAGGTGGCGCTCCGCCCCCCCCCACTGGTGGTGACCCCCCGTGGCATCGCCTGGGTGACGGGGGTCCGCTCTCGCGGGGGGTCCGCCATACAGTCGAGATCGATAGTAAGGATGCTCGGCTTCCCAGGGGTGCCCCTGCATCCCTGCCTCTTCGGCCATCTTCGGCCCACCCTCAACCAGCTTCGGTGGCCAGCCCCGCTCGAGAAAGCTTCAACGCGAGTGCCCGAGGCCCTCGCATCCTCACCGCGCATCCCTGCTGTCAGGTGTTGGCTGTATCCCCTCGCCGACCCGAGTTGGGGATCCACGCGGCGCTGACCCACCCTTTCCACCCTCCGTTGGCCCGGATGTGGGAGCTAATTGCGTCGAGGCCTCCCCTGGCTCGCGGCGTGGCCTTGGCTTGGCTGGTCCAGATTGGCGCTGGCCCGGCTCAGCGTCTCCAAGAGCGGACATCCGACAGAGATCGTGAGGTCCTGAGATCTTGGCGTCTCAGTTTTTTCGAGCTGGGCGTTTTCGCCCGGTCTCGGGCCACGGGACCCTCACAGATCGATCTGGTTCGAAAAACGGTGCAGGAAGATTGGGTCTTGGGCTCCGGTCGCGACGGCAGTGCCTGGCAATTTTGGGTCGGAATCGCTATCGGTGTCGCCGCGGACGTTCTTCATGTGGGACGGACGTCGCGTGCCCGACAGCGGCCCCTGTCGGCTTTGAACATCGACTGCTGGAAGTCGTCACCACTCTTTCCAGCCCAACCCTCGGCATGCTACGGCGTGCCAACGATACCCGGTCCCCCCACTTTGATTCAGGACGCTTCGTGTTCACCACCCGCCCATTACACGTATGCAGTCTCCGCCAGAGGGGTCGAAGACGGACCCAGGACGGGCTTCTGAAGACATGCCGAAGGAAGCCCCAAGCCGGCCCCGCAGCGGGCAAGCAGCGGTCCCAGGACTGCTCAAGCATCGCCCAGGGCGTAAGGGGCAAGGTCAGGGCGGCGATAGACCGTCTGTACCACCGTCTGAGTGGATTCGGATCGCCCTCCTCGTCACCCTTGTCCTCATCCTCATGGCTGTAACCAGCGCCCTCAGTGGCCTCGTCCATCTCTTTTGTCGCGCGTGTGGTTCATTGGCAACTTTAGGGGGAGACTCAGAGGGGGACGCATCGACCCCTGATCGCCCATTGATCGCCGATGGGGCCCATATTTCCTCACCCCGCCCAGGAGCGTGCGGATTCGCTATCGGGGGCCATTGGCCGATCGATCGGCGATGTATCGCCGATTCCGGGTCGATTTTTCCCGAGGCCAACGTGCCAAGAAAAGGTCCGTGGTGGATCCCAGATGGCCCCTCTTGGTGCGGGCATCCCCGTTCTGGACCAGCCGCCCGCGCATCCTGTGATCCAGGCCCGGGTCCAGGGCTTGTTTGGTGCGCGTCCGAGGGCCCACGCTGGGCTCCAGAACCCAAGACCCTGCGTGCGCCCAGTACATCCAACGTGTCAAAAAAGCCCAAGACGGAGGCTGTTCGTTGTCCTCGGCTTCCCGGGGCCCTTACCCAGCCCCAGGACCGGACCCCGCATTGAAAGCATCAAAACATCGGGTGTCGCGGGCCCCAGACCGCATCGAAATTTGCACCCAGAAATTGGCCCTGGCATTTCCGAAAAGCTGCTGCGAGAGGCGCCCAGGCGACCCCCAGCCATGTGAGCATCACTGCAAGCCTGCATGATATGATGTCATGGGATGGGCCAGGGGTTGGTGGTGCGGCCGTTTGGCGGGGGCTTGATTCAGGCTGTCTGGGACGCCCCGGGGTCACCATGGGGGCCGGGGGTTGGTGGTGCGGCCGTTTGGCGGGGGCTTGGGTCAGGCTGTCTGGGATGCCCGGGGGTCACCATGGGGGCCGGGGGTTGGTGGTGCGGCCGTTTGGTGGGGGCTTGATTCAGGCTGTCTGGGATGCCCCGGAGTCACCATGGGGGCCTGGGGTTGGTGATGCGGCCGTTTGGCGGGGGCTTGATTCAGGCTGTCTGGGATGCCCCAGGGTCACCATGGGGTTGGTGGTGCGGCCGTTTGGCGGGGGTGTGATTCAGGCTGTCTGGAATGCCCCGGGGTCACCATGGGGGCCGGGGGTTGGTGGTGCGGCCGCTTGGCGGGGGCTTGATTCAGGCTGTCTGGAATGCCCCGGGGTCACCATGGGGGCCGGGGGTTGGTGGTGCGGCCGCTTGGCGGGGCGGTGATTCACGCTGTCTGGGATGCCCCGGGGTCACCATGGGGGCCGGGTGTTGGTGATGCGGCCGTTTGGTGGGGGCTTGATTCAGGCTGTCTGGGATGCCCCGGGGTCACCATGGGGGCCGGGGGGTTGGTGGTGCGGCCGTTTGGCGGCGGGGTGATTCAGGCTGTCTGGGATGCCCCGGGGTCACCATGGGGGCCGGGGGTTGGTGGTGCGGCCGCTTGGGGGGGGCTTGATTCAGGCTGTCTGGAATGCCCCGGGGTCACCATGGGGGCCGGGGGTTGGTGGTGCGGCCGCTTGGCGGGGGCTTTGTTTCTCTCCACGCGGGCCAACCGTATGAGAACGCAAGGCTGAGATAACAAAAAGGCCCAGCTAAGTTCAGCCACTTGCGCCGATGTGCAGCCGAGGTTTGCACCACCGTGTCAGTGCGTTCGGATTGCACTCCTCGTGACTGTAATCAGCGGCCTCAGTGGCCTCGTCCATCTCTTTAGTCGTGCGTATGGTTCATTGGCAACGTAAGGGGGAGACTCTGAGGGGATGCATCGACCCCCAATCCCCAATTGACTGCCGATAGGTGCCCGATTCCGGCATCCTGCCCAGGAGCGTGCGGATTCGCCATCGGGGGTCTACCTCCGATCTATCGGCGATGTATCGCCGATTCCAGGACACTGTCTACCCCCCCTTGAGGTGGTCCCCCGATCGTTCCCGCGTGCTGGTCGTTCGAGCGGTCATCCTCGCCCCTTCCGTTGCGGTGCACATCTCCCCGATCCACGCCGACCGTAGCCCGCGCTCTGGGGATGGCCGCCGCCACGGGGTGGACTGACCGCAGCATGCCGAGGCCTCCAGACGCTGGTGGCAGCGGCGCTGCCAGAGCTCCCGCGCGCCAAGGCCGCGGAGCCCAAAACGCACGACCCTCCTCCACCCTCCCTCCTGCTCCTCCTTCCTCCCCCTGGTCGGGAGGAGAAGGGATCAGAAGATACCAGTACCGATACCGATACCGATACCTTTCCTTGGTCGCAATGGTTGGGTTTGTTTCGAAATTCTGGTCAGAAAGCACCCCAGGAGATGTCCAGGAAGTAGCGGTATCGGTACTAGTCCGTCCTCCCAGTTACAGCCGGGAGTGTCTGCATAATTTGTCGCGTTGTTGGTTCTGGCCCACCGCGTTTCGGCGCGACACGCTGACCACGTCCCACTCCCCAGGCGTCAACGTCCCGAGCATTTCGAAGCTTCCCGTCCCTCGAAGCATATCGACACGCCAACCGCTTGCAAGGCATGGCGTGTCGGTAGGGCAGACGCCGCGACATGCGATGCAACAATGCCCGACCGCAGATGCTATAACCAATGGCGTCCTCTACACCCCAATGCAGGGTGTCCTGTGGCTCCCGTTGCCTCCTATGGCTTCCAGCCCCACTCGGCTTGTGTCTGGGCATGTCGTTGTTGCTTGGCCTCTAATGGCCTCCTATAGCTTGGCCTCCTGTGGCTGCTTGGCCTCGGCATTTGGGTCCATATGGCATTACGCACATTGATCCAGCGATCAACTGCTCAGTACTCACGCGCTGGCGTCAGTGTTTTATGTGGTCATTCGCCTTGGCGTAGTGCTTTGATTGTGACACTCTCCCTGAAGAGTGTGCTCGGGGATGGACTCGCGGACCGTCGGAGTAATTAATTTGCGCTTGGGGACAGTCGTAGCACTTGTTGTCCGTTGATTGTCCACCAATCTAGTTGGCTTGCATGTTTGGTAATATTTTGGTGGAGTGGTGGGCTGCGTCACGCTGCCCGTCTTCGGCCAGGCATTGGCCTTCCTTGTGTGTTGCCCAATATGGTTTGGTTTTTCGGCTCTGGATGCCATCCCTCCCTCCCTCCCGTCCTCCTCCGCCACCCCTCCTTACAACGACGAAACGACGACGACGACGACGACGACGACGACGACGACGACGACGACGACGACGGTGGCGGCGGCGGCGGCGGCGGCGGCGACCCCGAGGTCTCCAGAGGTCTGCGGTTCCTCGGAGGCGTCTGGAGGCCCTCAAGGGAAGCCTCGATCTTCGAACCTCCCTGCCTCCCAGGGTCCATTTCGATCCAATCGGTTCCACTCGATATCGATTTCGGCCAGCCCCATCCGATTCGATTCCGATATTCCGACGATCCGATGCGGCCCGATGTTCACATGGTATCGTTGAGCATCTTGGCGCGGTCCATCCGATTCAATTTCGACTGCATGCTGATGCGGCCCGATTCGGCATACTTTCCGAATCGATCTGATTTGTCGATTTTATGTTGATTGATCTCGCCTCCTCCCGTCCGTCTCCCTCCCTCGTCCCCATCCGACGTAGTGTTTTTTTTGTCAGAGGGTTGGACCTCAGGAGGTCTGGACCACTTCTCCGGGACCAGCTTTTCATCCCGAGTAGTTTTTTAACGGCCCTGGGGCCCGGCAAGGGCCCGCAGAGGCCGAAGATTGCTCCAGACCCTCCGTTGTGACTTTTTTCAAGACCTGGTGGTATGTCTCCCTCCCTCCCTGCCTGCCTGCCTGCACCCCTCGTCCTGCCCCCTGCCCCACCCCCAGAGAGCAGGCGGCGGAGGCCGTCGAGCTGCTGCAGCGGCGAGAGCAGGTGCGCCCCCCTCAGGGCGGGCCCTCGCGGAGACCTCCCCCCTCGGCGACGACGACGGCGAGCACGACGATCAGGGGCAACGTTCGGCGGGGATGACGAGCCCAGGGGCAACGTCAGGAGGGGATGGGCGTCTCGACAATCAGATCGCATCTTCCCTGTAAGTTTCGAAAGTGTTCGAGGCCATGTGGTTTCCATCGGCTGCACCTGATCGAGAGCGCTCCAGTGGTGCCAGAATCGCCCCGAACTGTTGCCAGAGACCCGAGTTATGACCCGAAAGCCAGACGACAAGGATCCTTGGCTCACGGGGGGAATGCATCGACCCCAACTACTCGCCCATTAATCGCCAACGGGGGTCCGATAGCCCACTCCGCCCAGGACCGCACGGTTTCGCTACCGGGGGCCTATCGCCGATCTATCGGCGATGTATCTGTATCGCAGTTGCCAGCTCGATATCCACCCCCGAGCCGGTCACCCCCAGCGTCTCCCCTCAGACAACGCCGACGCACGACGACAATCGAAGAAGGAGACACTGCAGAAACATAAACTGTCGGAGGTCCGCGCAGATTTTTCGGCTCGGCGCTGGAATCCGCCTGGCCGCGCCTCTGGCGCCGCCCCTGGCGCGCTGCGCGCGCCAGGGAGATGGGCCCAGCTCCGCTCCACGAAATCCACCTGGGCCTCTGATGTTGCACTATGATTTGCGTTGCACTGAACTGCGTTGTACCGCATGGCACTGCGCTGCGCACGTGGATCTTGAAGGGCTGAACGCCCCCCGAGCTGGGCTCGCGCAGGAGTTATTGTACAACACGCTGGGGTCGTACTCAGGACCCAGCACTCCTGGAAAACGATCTGTGGCAAAAGACCAGTCATTTTGGGATGGGGTCATCGCGCCTGTAAGGGGCGCACGGCGTCAAAACCACGACGTCGGAGGTCTGCCCTTCTGGGTCGCCTCGGGAGCGCAAAGGCAACCGGTAGTCTCCCTCCCTGCTTCCCCCAGCCCTCTCTCCTTCTCCTCCCCCTCGTCCCCCTCCCCCTCTGGATCCTCCTGGCGGACACTCGGAGTCCGAAGATCTGGCCTTCTAAGCCCAGCGCAGATCCAAGAAGTCCACCCGCTGCTCCGAAAGTTGTTGCTCATGTCATTATTGGGTTCCTCAAGCTGAGAGTTGAGCGAACCGCGCAGTGTCGGCAGCAGGACACCGTGGTCGTCACTGCACGAGCCCGTCGTGAGCTCCGAGCCGTGACACCGCGGCGCGCGTGCGAGCGCGGAGCCGAGGCGGCCGCCCCTCGGCGGACGGCCACCGCATGCTCGGGGCCACGCTTTACCCCTCCGTGCCCCCTATGGCCGCTTCCGGCCCACAGCGCTCCTGGCTGTCCGCGGCCTGGCCCCCCCCCGAGGCCCCCTGGGCGTCCACGTCCCAGCCTTCCCCGGCCTCCCGCCCCGCGGAGCGACACGCCATCCGCTTGCAGCGAGGCATGGCGTGTCGGCGGGGCCGGCGCCCCGACACGTCTGCCGCCGTCGGGTCCCAGGCGCACGCGGGGAGGTGGCGCCTCGCCGCCGCGGGCGCGCGTCGGGCCTCCTTCGGGAGGGACAAAAACACACAGACACAAGTCATCGTCGATTCCCCAGAAAATAAATGAAAATATGGGAAGTGGGGGGGAAGACAGCAGCCCAGAAAATATGGGAAAATATTGGGAATTTATTGTTATTTGTGTGTATTTATTTGTGCGTCCTGAGGCCCCTTCACTCCTGCCTCCCTTCGCTTCCCCAGGAGCGACGCGGGAGAGGGCATCGGGCACGGCCGGGATGAATGCAGATCGCCTGTGAGCCCCCCCAGAGCGCTCCGAGAGAGTTCCGTGAGCGCTCCAGAGTGGCCGCGGCGCCCGATGAATCAAGTCGCCCAGAGCTCGCAGGTCTCAGAGATCCCCGGCTTCTCTCGATCCGAGCTCGTCCTCGCCCTCCCCTTCCGCCTTCGGGCAGCGCGCCCGCCGAAAAACCGGCCACCTGGTGCCAGACGCAAGACTCATTCATACCACACGCCTGGTGGGGGATCGATCCGCGGCAGCCTCGGCAGGCGGCGGGTCTGGATAGTTATGCTAGGTTCCTGGGGTGCCAAGTCGTTATCCACATTCACCGCCTGCCGAGGCCCCCTCTTATCAACCCCCCCCCAGGCGGTGGTTGTAGACAAATCTCCGCCTCGGACCGGGCAAGCGCGCCAGGGGGCGCTGGCCTTCGAGCCGTTCGTCTTCCCCTTCGTGGCGCTGATGCCCACCGCTCAGGGCCGGGCCGGGCCCCGATCGCCCCGCGGGCCGGCATGCCCCGCCCTCGATCGGACGGGCCACCCGCGATCGCGGCCCGCCCGCCCGACGAGATGGGCCGTGCGGGCGGGCGGAGGCACCGCTCGCGAGACCGGTCGCCCCCTCGCCTCGCGTCCCCAGACGTCTGGCGCCTCGAGCAGTTCGAGGCCTCCGGTGTTTCTCCCTCTGCGGCCTCCCGAGGCCGGCCTCGGGCCACCGGGCCGTCGGAGCACGACGCGGGGCGCCAAAAGCCGACCCCGGCGAGGTGGGCGTCCAGTTTTTCTCCGTCTGGCCGCGGGCCGCCGGACCGTCGGAGCACGACTCGGGGCGCGAGGCGGGCCCCAGCGGAGTGGCCGAGAGGTCGGGGCCCGCGTCTCGGCGAGGTCGCGCCGCTGGGTATTGTTGGCCTCGGGAGGTCGCGGCCTGGGCGGTGCGGGCCGCTGCAGCAGAGGAGCCCGCCTTCGGCGCGTCCTCGTCCCCGGCGGGAGGCCGGCGAAAGGCGGTGGAGGTGAAGGGGCGGTGGGTCCGCATACCTTCGGCCGGCGGAGGGCCGACGCAAGGAAGGCGGAGGGAGGAGCGAGGCGTCAGCATTGTGGGATCCAGGGCTTCAGCATCGGCCACGTGTGCCGCTCGAAGAGCGAGGTCACCCACAGAGGCGCGAGGCTGCTCGCGCGTTTCGCGCCTCGGGGCCTGTGCCGCAGAGGTGCCCGCTGATGCACGGCGGCGGAGCGAGGACGCGAAGGTGGCCGCGCGCCGCGCATCGCGGGCGCGTGGCCCGCGGCGAAGCTGGTCGACCTGGGAAGCGGGAGTCGGTCTCGACAGAGCGAGACTTTGGCGTCTCGCCCTCGGCGGAAGCTGGCGCAAGGCCAGCGGCAGCCGAGCAACGCAAAACGGACGGGGTCGTCTACGCCGACATTGGCGCGCAAGCTGCCCGCGTCAGGTCGCGCGCAAGCACCCTCGCTTCCAATATAGCGTGCCGCGCTCGCGGCCCGCGCAAGCTGCGGCGTAAGGTCGCCACGTCACCTCGCGCAAGACCCTGTCTGCTCGTCGCTCGCCCGGCGGAAGCAGGACGGGGGCGGCTCCGCCAGCGGAGACCTGCGGTTGCAGAAGCCGGTCGCCTCGCGCCCCGCCGTGGGCTCTCTGGCATCGACGGGCTGTCCCCCGAGAGAGACGGCAGACTTCGGGGGGGGGGCGCGGGGCATGGGCGCCGGGCGCCCCCGGGAGGCGCTCGGCTGTGGAGGGGTGCCCTCGGGAGGCCCCGGAGCCCGGCGTCCTCCAGAGTCGCGCGCGCACGTTCGTCCGGATCTCCCTGACTGAGGGGACAGTGCATCCATTGCGAGTGCAGGGTCAGCGGGAAGAAAGGACGGCATTGACATAAGCTTTCGGATCTCCGCGTGGATCTCTTGTGTGCGCGTCCGGACCTCCTTGGCGACGCCCCTAGCGCTCTCCGCGAGCCAGAGAGAGGGTCATGGCGCCGATCCAACAAATCCGCCTGGAGCTCCGACAAATGTCGTTCATGCAGTTGTTTTGCCTACTACGACAAACATTCATTGCGCGTGCAAGTTGAAATGCTGGGACACGGTCCACGTTGCCCTCGAACAGGGCTCTACATTTCTCAGGTCCATCCGTGGTTCTTCCTCCTTCGCTTCCCTTGCATCTGGGCGCAATACGGAAATCCAAAAGTGGCTCCGTTTGTTCTCCCATGGTTCCTCCTGGCAAGACTTGGACTGCACAGCCCCCCATCCCGCTTTCGAGAGGAGCAGAAGGTGCTTTCCCACTTCGTACAGCCCCGGAAATGCTCACGCCCCCTTCCATGAGGAGCAGACGGTGCTCGCCCACTTCGTACAGCCCCGAAGATGCTCGCGTCGTGAAAAAATACGACGAGGTCATCTTGGTAGTTTTCGGCTTTTCGGGGCCCTCACCAGATACAGGACCGTCAAAAACACGGTTCAGGGTGAGAAACCCATCCTGGGGACAGCGTCGGGATTTTCGGCGACCGCGCATTGAAAAAATCAAGACATCACATGTCTAGGGGCGTTGCTCTTCCATTACGTACAGCAGGCACGCCAACGCTAACTACTCTGTCAACACCCTGCTGGAATGTCTCCCTGTGGACCCGCCCGGAGTCCTGGGGCGGCCGAGAAGCCCGCGCTCTCGCCCGGAGAGGGCGGCGCGGGCCCCGCCGAGGCATCGCGAGGGGGATCCGGGGCTCGTGGTGCGGCGCCTGGAGATCTGCCGGTCCTACTTCACGACCGGGCACGGGCCCGCCGCGCCAGAGCCGCCGCCGGCGGAGGCCGAGGCCAGCGAGGACGCGGGGCCGACGCCTCGAAGGGGCCCCCGACACGCAACGTTCTGTGAAGGCCAGGGTCTCGAGGTCGCTCGTCGCTTTCGGGCCGCTGGGGGCCCTCGCCCGGCCGCGGGACCGCCAGAGAGCGACCTCACGGCGAAGGGCCAGCCCCGCGGCCAGGGTCGGGGCTTCCTCGGGCTGCGTGCGGCAGGAAGAGACATCGCGTGCCCGTCGGCGGCGAGCCCGAGGGGGAAGGCAGAGGGGGGGCGCGTCCTCCGAAGGTGCAGGAGCCCTCCGGCCCTCTGAGGAGCTGGAAGCTCAAGGGGCCCTGTGAGGGGGCCTGCCCCCTCGCCCACTCCCCCTGGGGCCCGCCGCCGAGACTGGGGAGGGGCCAGCAGGCGCAGGCAGTGGGGAGCACGCCCCCTCGGCGGGCATCTTCAGCCAGTCCTCTCTGGCCGGCCCGGGTTCTCGTCTGGCCGGGCTTTTCTCACGGACACTGAAAATCAGTATGTCCGTAAGGGCTTCGCCCCCATGCCGCCGGCCCCCCTTTCTTAGCATAGGACTTGCCAGAGCTGTGTTGGGATGTCTGGACGCTGACGTGAAGCAATGTTGGGACTTCACGCGAGGGCCAATGTTATTTTACGATTGTTTATGGTTTGGGTGGCACGAATATTCAGTAATCTACGATGGTTAATGGCTTCGGGGACGCGAACATTGCATAAGTTACAATGGCTTGTGGCCTCGGGGACGCAAATATTGTGTAAGTTACCATGGTTGATGGCCTCGGGGGCGGAACTGTTGTGTAATTTACAAGGGTGTATGGCCTCGGCGGCGCGAATATCGTGCAATTAGCGAGGGTTTGTGGCCTTGGGGACCCAAGTACGGTGTAAATTATTAAGGTTTATGGCTTTGGGGACGCGAATGTTGGTTAATTTTCGAAAGGGCGTATGGCTTAGGGGCGCGAGGATTCCATACTTTACAAGAGTTTATGGCTTCGTGGACGCGAATAGCGAGTAATTTACGACAGATTCTGGCTTCATTGCTTAATTTACAAAGTTTTGTGGCCTCGGGGACGCGACTATGGCGTAATCTACTAGGGATTATGGCCTCGGGGACGCGAATCTTATTTTTTTCGTGTCCCCCCCGGGAATTCAGACAACGCGATTCGGGGACGCTAACCAGGACGCTTTTCGGCTCCCCCCCCTCGCGCGTTCAGCAACAATTGACAGCAAGGAAACAGGAAACTGGAAACGGCAACTGGCACATGGAGCTGCAAGCCTAACCTTCGCAGCCTGATGGCCCAGCAAGGGGGCCGGCGGACTTATAGATGTGTCGCCAAGTCATCATGCATATTGAAATGCAGGGTTATGTATGAATGTGTATGTTTATGTCGTCGGATCGCGGCACCGACCATACATGTAAACAGCTCATTGTAATGGGCGCGCCCATGCATCACGGCCGAGATGAAGGCCGAGTTGCCGCACGGAGTCTCGCCGCCTCCGGGCAACGCCGATTGTTCGCTTACGATTCTCTTTGACGTTGTTGTCGCCATGCCATCGTTCCGGGTGTGAGAGGTTATCCACCTGATCCGCTTTGCGGTTGATGGAGCGTCGACCAGATCAAATCGACCACCGACGAGCGGGAAAGAAGGTTCCTTCCCAACGTGATGTTACGCGCATGCTTCAGCGTACGTCGTCGGATCGACTCCATCGCGAGAGGGGAGAAGACGGGGACGAAGGCGCCAACCTGAGTGGGCCAAGTGAGGTTTGTGAAGCGCTCCTCATTTTCATTCCCTTCTCCCTCGTCCTCGTCCTCCTCCTCCTCCCGCTTTCGCTTTCACCCACAACTGCGGCGACTTAAACGCTCCCTGTCGCGCGCCCATGATTTTTACCAGCGTCGTTGCCATCGTATCCACAGCAATTGCACAGAAGAGGCGTTGGTTCAAGATGGACCGAAAGACTTGCGTCACCGCGGTGCCGGGGCTCTATGGAGCATCTGGGACGACCCCACAGATGTGCAATGGCCGTTGCACATCTTTGGGGTTTGGCCCCTCGTGGGCCCTCTTGGAGTCTGCTTGGGACCCCCTTTGGAGCCCCAAGGGAGCCCCCTTGAAGCGAGACGGGGCGCACAGAGGGCCCCTCAGGGAACAGAGAATCCTTTGAACGAGTTGCGCCTAGAGGGCCGGTGGGATTGCAGGGTCATTGCAGGGTATGGCTAGGTTGTCAGCAGGGTATGGCAGGTTCTTTGCAGGGGTCTCTGCAGGGTCACTGCAGGTGTCTTTGCTGGAGTCTTCGCAGGGTCATTGCGGGGTCTTTGCAGGGGTGCTTTGCAGGGTAGGGAGAGGGGTGTGTTAGAAGGTCGAAGACTGAATTTCGCAAACCATCTCCACATCGTGAAGGGCTGGTGGGAGTGAGCTAAACCATAAAATTGCACAGCAGGGAGGGTCCAGCGCCGATCCAAGAAGGCCGCACGGACATTCGAAAGATTATGCATGTACTTTTTCTTCTTCGAAGTTGTTTGTATGATTAAAGTACGGACATCGGATGTCGGCGTTGTGCCGCTCCGAGGAGAGCCCCGACACATTCCCAGGGACGGGTTTTCATCATGGGACCGTCAACGATCGTGAGTTAACGGTCCTGAGGCCAGCCGAGGGTCCCTGGAGGCCGACAATCACCAACAACCTTCCGTCGTGACTTTTCTGCGGCGCTGGATGTCTCGGTTCCCGGTGGGCTTCGGGCTATACTGTGTGCCTTTGGCACTCGTCTGGGGCGATCTGGGCACCCCTGGGACACGGGACGGCCTCGGCGAGGCGCAGTTGCTGGAAGGTGGCACCCCGAGGCTGGAACACCTTGAGGCTTAGGAACCCACGAATACGGCCGAACACCTAGAAGTTTGACGTCCGACGTCGCGAGAAAAATGCAACAACGTAGCAAACGCACGGCCAGAGCCCCAGACACCATCTTCCTGCGGGATGTCTCAAGCGCCGAATCGACTCGTGAGGGCCCCGAGGGCCCGAACCCGGGAAAGGCTTCGAACCTCGCCTGAGATATCCAACACCTCGAAAAGACGTTGGGTTCGA